GAATTAAGCGGGGTCTGGATTGAAATGTGTCTTATACTTTGAACTTTACGTGTTTCCTGGACGGGCGATCCGCGATAAATGCTCAGCGGTCTATGCAGAGTGTGCCCCACGTGCCCAGGGTGATTTCACAAGTCATGACAAATGATGACTAATGACCTGTATGTATAATTATGTATATTATATACATTTATAATCATCTATATTCACATATATATATATATATAACATGTGTATATATATATATACATATGTATACATATATATATATATATATAGAGCAATATACATATATCAATATATCTACACCTTTATTATATACATTATATATATATGTACTATATATATACACCATATTGTATATACCATATTGTATATACACCTTATTATACTGTATCTAAACCCATATATTTATAAATATACATGTATACAATATATATATATATATATACACCCATAATATATATATATATGCATAGATACCCAAGATACAAATCTATATCTAGATCTATATCTATGTATATATATATGTATGTGTATGTGTATATGTATATGTTTATGTACATATACATATATATGTAACTATATCTCTATCTCTATCTCTATCTATCGATGACTCCATCTATCCATCTATCCATTTTTCCATCTATCCATCTATCCATCCATCCCTCCATCTATCTATCTATCGATCTATCGATCTATCTATCTATCGATCTCTCTATCTATCTACCTACCTATCTATCTATCTACCTGTCTATCTATCTATCTATCGATCTATCTATCTATCGATCTATCTATCTATCTACCTACCCATCTATCTATCTACCTGTCTATCTATCTATCTATCTATCTACCTATCTATCTATATCCATATATACGTATATATATATATATATATATATAGTGTATGATATGCAAAGCTTGAATTTATATAGTGGGTAGTGAACCAGTGAGGAAGGAAAACAGATTGGGGTTCTGTTCAACCAGAGCTACTCTTGCCTTGACGTAGTCCTATCCTCCAGCCATTTTTGCTGTGTTTCCTGCGTACGGTTTCATCATATTTGGATCTATTATCATCTATTCATCAATTGAGGTACCCTGGGCTTCTTCAGTGCTGGTGGAAAATATGGGAATTATGAACGAGGATACCCTCAAGTTCTTAATGGGTTGGTTCTTAAGGGGTTCATATGGTGAGGGCTTTGCCAATTCATTTTGACGTGGTATTAGATTGCAAAGGAGGCGGGGGAAGAAAAAACTTTTAGGTCCCCAAAAGTTTTTTCAGGTGCAGGCATTCCAAACAGAGCTATAGGCAAGATATTCCACCATGCCAGGGCTTGAAAGTTCATTTTGGCGTGGTATCAGGTTGCAAAGGAGGCGGGGGGAAGAAAAAACTTTTTAGGCCCCGAAAAGTTTTTTCAGGCGCAGGCATTCCAAACAAAGCTATAGGCCAGATATTCCACCATGCCACCGCTTGATTTTTTTTTTTGGCGTGGTATTAGGTTGCAAAGGAGGCAAGGGGAAGAAAAAAACTTTTGCGGTCCCGATTTTTTCAGGTGCAGGCATACCAAACAGAGCTATAGGCCAGATATTCCACCATGCCAGGGTTTGAAAGTTTATTTTGGCGTGGTTGCAAAGGAGGCGGCGGGAAGAAGAAAACACTTTTTTAGGTCCCGAAAAGTTTTTTCAGGTGCGGCCATTCCAAACAAAGCTATAGGCCAGATATTCCACCATGCCACCGCTTGAAAGTTCATTTTGGCGTGGTATTAGTTTGCAAAGGAGGCGGGGGGAAGAAGAAACTTTTAGGTCCCGATTTTTTTCAGATGCAGGCATTCCAAACAAAGCTATAGGCCAGATATTCCACCATGCCAGGGCTTGAAAGTTTATTTTGGCGTGGTATTAGGTTGCAAAGGAGGCGGGGGGAAGAAAAATATGTTTAGGTCCCGAAAAGTTTTTTCAGGGTTTGGGCACCCGAAACAAGGCAGCACAGGCAAGACAAGCCAAGACAAGCCAAGGGCAGCCACCGAGGCAAGATGACCTACAGTGAGTCTGGTTGGTGTCTAGCTGAAGCTGTCGGCATCAGATTTGGTGAGCACGTAAAAGTTGAAATCTTCCTGGCGCCGCACCATGTTTGTCCTCGGCATGGAAGTTTCACGGCGCATATTTTTTTTCCTGGGAAATAGCTGCTAAAAATCAATGTTTGGTGATAACTGTTAAAGGGGAATAAGAACCAGTGGCTAGAATTCCAGGGTACCCTAGGATTTTTATTTCAATTACCTGACAGAAGGGTTGAATCCAGCGTTCTTATCGCAGTAGGTTCTTCAACTGGTTCCACTGTGCCCAAAATTGAGGAAATTCAATATTCTCATTTCAGGATGTTTAAACTTAAACTAATCCACCATGCTTGTCAAATGTTGAGCCATGCTCAGTCCCCTCCGTCTTCAGGTTCGAGAAAGCGGGGAATAGACCGATGCAAAGCGAGGCAATGAGTGCAAAGAACCTTGGCAGCGGGTGAGAACTTCTCTGGGTGTTCCCCAGCTGGATGGGTACTTTAGTGCAACTTTCCTCTGCAGAAAATGAGGATATATGATTCATGATACATTAGTTTATTAATTATTATATATTAATTATGTAATATATATATATTGATTTATTTATATTTACTGTAAGCATGATTCACATGATCATCTACTAGCCAGCTATTTCTATGTAAGCTTGGCAGGCTGATGTTGTTACAAACCGACAAACCATACACTTTGATCCTCTGCTGTTTGGATTACCACAATTACAAAGGGATAAACAGACTTGAACAAAAAACTTGTCAAGACGTCTCTTGGGGCAAGAACTAAGGTATTTCACCCAGAAAGCCGTGGGTTTCAACATGGTGGTTTGAAAATACGGCACCCCAAAATCCACTGGTTGATCATCACTGTCCCCATGAAAATTGCAATTCAGGTGCCTATAATTATAATTAATTACTCCATTTGACACACCCATGAGAACCTAAGAAACATATTTTATTGACGAAAATAGGCAAATTGGTAAATGGACTATCAAATTTGGGGGTTCAAAGAACACGAAGGGGAATTTAACCAACAACATATGGGCAGTTTGTCAACACAAAGTGGGTCTTCACGAACAAACATGGGGATATAGTGTGGATGTAGTGGAGCAACCAACTGATGTTTGGGGTATGTGGCACACAAGACTTTGACACTTACCTCATCGAAATGACGAGCATGATCTCAACGCCTTACTGGTCTCAAGTACTCGTTAAATTCAACGCTATTTGGTGCCATCCCGGCAAGCACATTTTGTGAAACCACCAAGCAGTCAACATCTGGCAGCGAAGTTCATGGCAATGTAAATGTTATGACTCCATCCCTTTCACTGTGATACCTTCCTAGGTCTAGTAGGCATACAGGCCATCAACTCACCTCTTACGCCTTGCCATTCCCACCTCCTTAGCAGCTCTTTGCTCAGCTAATTTGGGTGATGGGATGACAATGATGTGGGCACCTACACGATCGGTACTGGGAAGACCGACGAATCTGCGTTCATGGCTGGGGGTTTAGCCACACAATTGGACTATGTTGGATCTTGATTTTGTTTAGTTTAGGGTCTGAATGAATTTACTCTAATGCAAATCATACTTAACAGAGTCAACTTCAGAAGTGTACGAGCAAGCCACCGAGATGGATTGTTGTTTTGTTGTTTTTGGTTTAGCATTTCTTACTGGATGAATGTGTCATATCCCCCAAAAACAGACCACGCGTAAGGTTAAGAGGCAACATCTTCAGTCGCTAGCAGGTTCTAGCAAACATCTGATATGAACAGGGGAGGTGAGGTGTCCCATAGCATCCCATAGCATCTCATTGCTAGGCTGCAACGTTTGAGTGAGAACTGGAAAGACCTCGGATGAGTAGTTTGATGTTGGTTGTATCCTGCCACATAAACCTGGGTTTGAGAGGGTCACAGGCTTCATTTTTGGGAATGTTTGGCCATAGAGGAGTTGAAAAGATGGTTTGCTGGAAAATCCACTATTTACTTCGATCATTTTCCCCCTAAAACCTCCATGTATTTCAGGGATTTCCCAGCTAGCCAGCCACTTTTGATTCCCGGACGGTAAGTGAGGTATCATCGTTGCCGCTTCCCTCCACTGTTCATCTCCATCCGAGGATCGACGTTTACCTGCAGCAACAGAAGCGACCCGAAGCACGGGCAACAGCTCTCGAGGTGCGTTGTGCAACGGGCACTTCGTCCAGTTGAGCAGTGGGGGGAGAGCTCAAGACAGCCATTCAGATATAGATAGAAAATGATAGAAAGGTATTTATCACTGTTTTAGTACCCAACGCCGTCCCCAGGCAACTGGTAACGAAACCCCCTCTTTTTGTTTTTTTTGCGGGTATGGGGTGGGGGGGATGTTAACGTGCCTGTCAACTTGCTCACGTCATGTATGCTTCGTGAACTTCGAGGTTTGGGTGGGGGGTGTTAACGTCCCTGTCAACTTGCTTACGTCACGTATGCCTCGTGAACTTCGGGGTTTGGGCGGGTGCGGGGGGAATGTTAACGTCCCTGTCAACTTGCTCACATCATGTATGTGTCGTGAACTTCGGGGTTTGGGCGGGTGCGAGGGGAATGTTAACGTCCCTGTCAACTTGCTCACATCATGTATGTGTCGTGAACTTCGGGGTTTGAGTGGGTGGGGGGGGACATGTTAACGTCCCTGTCCACTTGCTCACGTCATGTATGCTTCGTGAACTTCGGGGTTTGGGTGGGGGGGATGTTAACGTCCCTGTCAACTTGCACAAGTCATGTATGCCTTGTGAACTTCGGGGTTTGGGTGGGGGGGATGTTTAACGTCCCTGTCAACTTGCTCACGTCATGTATGCTTCGTGAACTTCGGGGTCTGGGTGGGGGCGGATGTTATCGTCCCTGTCAACTTGCTCACGTCATGTAGGCTTCGTGAACCTCGGGGTTTGGGTGGGGGGATGTTAACGTCCCTGTCAACTTGCTCACGTCATGTATGCTTCGTGAACTTCGGGGTTTGGATGGGGGGGATGTTATCGTCCCTGTCAACTTGCTCACGTCATGTATGCTTCGTGAACTTCGGATTGAGGCCCACTGCATGCAATGGCTGTGGCGTCATTCAATGACTGAAAAAAATCATTGATGCCACTTCAGTTTCTCAAACAAGCGGCCAAAGCTTGCAACGCTCGCTGATAGTATCAACTATCAAAAAGGCGGCCAATTGCCCCAAGACCGCGCGACCTTTTAGTATTTAGTATTTTTTTTTCAGGTCTTTTGGTGGTTTCTATAGCGGTATTCTGATGAACAAAGATTGAGAAGAACCGGTCAAATCAGTACAGATTTGGAACATTTACATTTTTTTTTGGTTCAGGCTGTTCATCATAGCTTAGGACTTGAACTGGGTGTCATCAATATTCCCTGCGGTTTAGCAAACCAGGTGTGAAGGTGACCCCAGCCAGGGCCCAGAATGAAAGGTAATCATAGCCACAAGGTCGCAAGGTTATTGATTATTTGTGGGCTTGTTACACTTGGGCATCCCCAAGTCACGACTGATTTTAATAAGTCATGGATGATAAGTCATGGTCATCCATGACTTGGATGATTTGGGAGTACCCTGACTTCGGACACCTCCACCTTTGTATTTTCCCTGCGGTGATGGGAGCAACCCTGGGTTGCTGAGGCTGAACCATCACGTTTAATTTATGGTGGTAAATAACCGGATCCATAAGGCCTTAGATATTTCTCCAATTTATTTTTACCGCAAATACACGTGTTCATCATCATTTTCTCATGTTTTGGATGGCGTTTTTTTTTTGGCATCCTGCCTTTTTGGACTATGAGAAGGGTCATTGTTGTGTCTTCGTGTCGGCTTTAGTTTCTTATGTGGTTCTGCAGGCGGGTGGGCAGAGAGCCTTTCTTGTTATTTTTTGACGTCGTTTGCTACGTCGTTCGGACGTCGTTCGGCACGTCGTGGTTTCAAAAATAGGAAACCTATAGGAGAGGTTGGTTGTTGTGAATCACGGATGGCAGAGCGAAGCCACTGATGGACCGAGAGCAGCAAAGCGAAAAGAGTCAGCAAAGCGAAAAAAGTCAGCGGACCGAAGCGGCAAGTATTTCTCAACCCCAGAAACATGAACGGTAGAGTGCAACGGTAGACGGATTTTTGCGAACATTTGATTTTCCCAAGTGTGGAAACATTCTTCTTATATATACATACGCGATTCCATGGTGTTTTAAGATTTGGGCATGACTTAGGCATGAGTTTCTTGAAACAGCGATTCCATGGTGATTTACTAGCAAGTTTTGACCCAGGCATGAGTTAGGCATGAGTTTGTCGTTTGACTGTAGTGTTTCCAGTGTTGGTTCACTCCACAATAGAACTTTATTGTTACGCTGTATATAACCGTTAAATCATGCCACCCATTTTTGTTTGCTTGTTTACCCATGTTTTTTACCATTGTTTTGTTGCATTCGTTTGCATTTTTCTAGTTTTTTTGAATTTTCACATCTTTGAACTAGTTTGAAACTACTTTGGAGAGTACTCCATCGGTGGCGCGTGCTCAACCCAGCTGGAAGAAGGGGAGGTTGCAGCTCAACGTGCTACAGACGATGACGACCAGCGGCAGTGGAAGCGTGACCAAACCAGTTTCTGGCAAACCTCGACCTACCTGACCTACCTGCCAACTTGGACATCTCGGGCAAAGGAACATCATTTTTTTTCCCCCCTTCGAGATCTGAAGTGTGAAGGCAAATCTCCACCAAATGAAAACCAGTTTTCCATATTTTTCCTTTCTTGACGTTGAGGCCAAAAGCCCGCCAAACAAAACCGTTTTTTTCAGCGTGTTTTTCCTCGCACAAAAATGTTTTTCAATTCCATTTCTTTGCGTTTTTTTTGCCTTTTTATTATTTTGTTGAAACCTCAGAGGTTAGCTGTTTCAAGATCTTTATAGTACTATTTCATAGTTCAATAAAATTAACCACTGTTATATAATCATGATATCATGATATCATGATTATCCCATTGTTCTTCCAATATTTCCCCAACCTTTCTCCCAAGAAATTGGAGCCGAGCCAGGCCGTTGGGTTGTTCAAGGCCATGAATGTCGGGGCCCAGTGCACCGTGTCGGGGCCGAGTGGTACAGTACTTTACTTGGGGTATGATATGATTAGTCCCAATCTAACGTCGTGACATGGTCACCAATATAAGTATACTTTGAATCAACCATGTCGTGACTGACACGTTAATCTCAACCCATCTTAGTATACTTTTACTTGGAGTATTATCGGGGTATAGAAGTCCCAAGAAATTCACCAATCATGATGAAACATGATGAACCATTCATAACTATCTCATAACTATCTCATAACTAATTGATGGTGTTGATCTAGAATCACCATGATTCACCGCAAAATCAAGGCTACAGATTGGTTAATTTCTTTGGTTTTATATATACTACCTTATACTGGCTAACTTATTGCATAACGGGATAGCCTAGAAACAAAACAACTACTGTAGTATTTTATAAGATGGAAAAGAATCATGTTCTGCTTGGTCGTTTCAATTACATTATTTATTGTGTTTTAACCATACAAGAGGAATGATTGGTTGACATGACTAGTGTTTTTTGGGATGGCTTAAAACTACCAACCGGTCTTGATATAACCAGCAATATGGGATTTGGGGTATAACTAACTAAGATTCACCGGGAGGTTTTACCAAGCATTTAATTGGAACTTGAAAGGGATATAACCCAAGAAAAAAAGGATGAGGGAATTAGGGTTATAGCTGACATGAACGGGGAGATTCAGCAACATATGGGGGAATATGAAATTATCATAGAATTGTATGGTACAACAATGGGAAGAAATGGGATGCAACCAATAAACATGGGGATGCAAGATGATATAAGTATGTATATACACCGTATATATATATATATATATGTGGTTGGTGGTTTCAAACAATTTTTTATTGTCCATGATATATGGGATAATCCTTCCTATTGACGAAATATTTTTAAGAGGGGTTGAAACCACCAACCAGATATATACATATACAAAAGGTGATATATGATATAACCACCGGCCAGGAGATGACAAAAGCCACGTCACGACGTGATTGTCATTGTGAGGGGGAAAGTATCCCCTACTATTCAGCTTGGTAAATTCTTATGATTTACAGTCTCCCTTCACATATAGTACATACATATACTGTATATTCATATTTATTTATATATATATATACATGTATATATATATATATATACATATATATATACATGTATATATATATATACACATATTCATTTAATATGGGGCCCCCAATTATAAGTTGGTAGATAGCCCCATCCAACTATGTTATCTATAACTATGTCTACATAATGCTCTAGACCATAACTATAGCCTAGTTATATACCGTTCTTGGGGAACCCCACTTGTACTTGTACCACGTCTGTGTATACAGTATACCCCACTTTGTTCAGATGGGCCCTCGGCAGCTACAAGATCTGTTCACTGGGACTCAAGAGTTGCTCGAACATCATACTTACCATTTGGTTATTTAACATAGCCATGGAAAATCACTATTTCATAGGTGAACCATCTATAAATGGGCCATCTATACCATGGCTATGTTAAATAACCAGAGGGTAACCTGATGGAGGCACATCGATTGTGCCAATTAGAATCAACATGTGATGTTTCTGTTGGTGTCATGGTCTCCATCGACATGGTCTCCATCGACAAAACTCATCGATTTGAAGGCGTTGTTCATCTGCTTCGGGCTGTACTCATATATTTATCATGTCGATCGTGCTCCTTAATGTGCAATTTGGCGCTGAGGAAGTAACACGTGGTGAATGTGACTCATAATGTGACGCTAATTTTACGTAGATACATAATTCGACCCTCCGAGTATTTCACATAGCTATGTAACATGGCCCATTTGTATATTATTTGTGATGATTTACCTATAAAATCCTAAAAACACCTGTGAAAAATCCATAGCTACGATTAAATAACCAGAGGGTATATGGTGATATAATGTCCATTCTTGACCTCAGACCTCCAAGGTTGGATGGCTTCGACCCTCAAAATAGCCATTGCATCAGCATCGCTACGCAAGTGAACCAATCACCCAATCATAATTGGTGCTTGGGAGAATTCCCCCAGTTGAGTTCAAAATTAAAGACGGCTTGGATGAAGCACTGAGAAAGTGATTGGTTTTCCATAGGTTGTTTAACACCATTTTTTGAGACAATTTGGCATAGGAATGCCATTTGTCCAATCCCAATCACCGTTTTTCATCATATTTCTAGGGACAGTACCTTCTGAAATCAGCCAACAGTCAAGTACAGCATATGGTTTAGGATGCTTCTGCATGTTTGTTTCATACCAACTATGACAATGATTTAATATTTTATGTGGCAACTCATTTCGTTGATAGCACCCACCAAAGTCGCCGACTCCGTATCTTGTACCAACATAGCCAGTATATTTGATAGATGTGGGTTGTCCATGGTGGTCCTTCTAAAATAGGGGGTTAATACTTGGTCAACATTTGCAGTCCTTCAATTTTCTCCGATACCAATGCTGTTATCGCAATCCCATAGCTATCCCATAGCACCAGAATGCTAGATGATTCCCCCATAATGTTGGTAAAGCAATGATTACCAAACCATCCTCAAATTGACCACTTTTATGTTGTCATCAACTGATAATTATGGGTGGTTTATGACATGGTTTTACCGTTTTACCAACATTAACCAATCTTATTTCCATAGCCTGATTGATCCTTGCCGCTTCTCGTCGCGGTCGCCGTGTGGACCAAGGATCCGAAATCGGAGGCCAAAGCGCAACTGTTGGTGGCACAGGCCGATGGAGAAATGATACGGTGGGTGGTTGCGAATACCTATAAACCACCAAAAGGATGGTTGAAAGATGTTGAAAGCTTATAAATAATGGGATGGTTACCTCCTATCAACTGGTGCAGGATTTCGCAACCATCCACAGTATGTTGGTACATGTCAATAAACTGTTGAAGATGTTAGGAAATGATGCTACTCCAGCTATATCATAAATATTAATGATAGATGATGGAGTCCTAAATGATGATAATGTGAGTAACCCAGTAATATATACCTACCATTTGGGGATGGTTCTACCACGCGTAAAACTAGTGGTTTTGGGGGTGGTTCATGGCATTGGGTTTACCAAATGATTTAACATGTCATGGACTCCTAGATATCCTTGATAATATCTAATTGATGTTGTGTTCGCTGTTGATGTTATTACAGTACAACGATGTTAGGAGATTCTGATCCATCATACATAATGTTATCATAGATTATGTTGATGTCATGAAATTGTATATACACATGATAGTGTTAATTGTTGAACTATAGCCATACTAATGATATGTCTAAAACACATCATCTAGTTGGTGACATTTATGTTTGCAAAATGCAATAAAATTGGGGAAATGGTTTCTATATACATGTACGACATATACTATTCCCCAACTGACACACACACACATCACGCTGAGAAACGTAGTCTTCCAGCCTGCATTTGGCAGGGTCTATTTTGGATGGAGGGGTGGCAATAAAATACCCAGGTGTTTTCAGTGTGTGTGAGAGTGATTTGTTATGTTTGATGGTGTTCCTGTTGTCATATACATCATATATATATATATATATACATGCATGCGCACTTATATACTGTATACATAATTTACGCTATTACATAATATCACCTCCACATTTCTTGATTTCTCACTGCTCAATCCACATACCATTTGAGAAAATCAATTTGCTTGTAATATGAGTTGCAAGAGAAATTTGAATCTGATTCCATGTATATACATTGTTGGTTCTATTCACACATATTGTCACTGCAGGTAGCTAGATAATGTTGTGTATTAAAGCCTGTTGTTCTCCATGGTTATACCATGTCAAAGTCAACATCTTATTTCATTCCTCAAAAACAAATCTGGAAAAATGCCATAACAACCAAAGATTGACTGGTATTTGAAGATGTTTGGATTATGCTTGCGGGTGAAATCCAATGTGTTCTTGGTACCAGGAGACACTCAGAGACAAACTGTGTCAGTAACCCATTCTTGATGTCTCAAATGTGTTTTAATCATTGGGAACTCCGGTTTTTTCTTTTTCATGCCGGTTAAGTAAAAAGTTTTTGCGGTGTGATGTTTTTCAAGGGATCATCCAAGATTATCTACATGTGTTGATTAATTCTCCCATATGTCTTGGTTACATGTTTTAAATCAATATTGAACCCAAAAGATAGGCTCTGGAAGGCCAGAAAAAATCATGTTTTCGCCATAAACTGGATCCCCCTTCAACATTTTGGGGTGCAAGAATTCTTTGACTCCATATGTATGGCATCCCCCAAAGTCCCAAGGTGTCCTTCCAACAGTTTTTTGCTTAGGACTCGGACTGTTCAAAGTCTGTCAGGTTTGCACGCAGACCCAACGCTACAAAGAGGCCTCGCTCGGCATTTAGCACAAATAAATAGTTGCTAAACTGGGTACGTCTTCGATGGGTAGTTGGTGCCGCAAGTTATTTGTTTGGCGTTTTGATGGGGGCTGCTGATTCTTTTCCTGCTTGATAATCTTATTAATGTCATGAATTGACCCTGAACAAGTCCATGAATAAAGTGTGCATGGTATATTATGACTATATATATATAATATAGATTATACATTTTTTTTGCAAAGTGTTTTGTATCTACACTATGTATACACGATATTGTATAGCCAAATACATTCAATGAAACTGAATTTCCATATACATCTATAAGATTATTGCATACAGTTATGGCCCTTCACAATTATAAATGAAACTACAATACCTATAAATAATGCTATAGTTATGTATCATTATAAAACAATCTTTAACTGTTATGGACCATAAGTGTGGTTGGTGCTAAAAACCCGGCCTCGACCATATACACATCGTGTGTTTCCATATAGAATAACTTTATATATATATGCATATAAACCAATGGTTTCATATATATATGCGTATAAACCAATGATTTCATATATATATATATATACTATATATGCGTATAAACCAATGATTTCATGTATATATATACTTATATATATATAATATATGTTCACATACAAACCAATTTATGTCTCCATTTAGAAAAACCATATAAACCAACACGCTAGGCTTCCACAGCAAGCGTACCCACTGTGTCTGTGAGGCCACCTCAGCAGGCCGGGAGGCCTTACGCTTAGCACGCTTAGCAGGCGACAAGGTTCAGCAGGTGCGCCACGTGGTGGGGGCGACGGGAGGGGGTGAGTTGGTTTTTGGCCATAAAAATGTGTTGTTTGGGATAGTTACCACTATAATATTATCATATATCCATTATCCATTCTCCATTATCCATGATATATATTTACCATATACCATATTTACCATATACCATATTTACCATGATATATTATCCATTATCCATGATCATGAGGATATTATCCAATTTTCCTCTAAACTGAGACTTTGCGAACTTGAAAATGGCCATAGAGTTGATTTTCCCAGCTATAAAATGATGAGTTTCCATAGCGAACAGTTAGTTTACCAGATGGTAATTGTGTGATTTGTGCTATACGATTATATAATTGTGATTAATTGTCTATAGGAGTTGTTTGGGATAGTTCATTGGGATTGGTATTGGATGAATTTTGAATCTCGTACCAATTCATCATTTTATTGTGGCAGATGTTGTGTGGTTTCAGCTAACAAGTATTTAAAGAGTCGTTTTTTTTGGGGCTGCGTGTCAATACCTATTGATGCTATATTTACAGGGATGATCATCCATTTACCAGCTAGTTTGATCTAGTTTGATGTTTACCAGGGGTACAGGATTTTGACCCTACCCACAGTTTGTCAAAAGCATCGATGATGTTATCCACAAAGTAGAATGGTGTTGTTTAAAAACAATGGGACACACCTTTGTCACTGGTAGTTTCATACGTGTAAAGCCTATATAATTTGTTAGTATTTGTTATTTGTTATGGAATGGATGCCAACATTTCCGCCCGTCATAGTTCTGTAAGGGTTTTAGGTATCACGTTGCAGGAGGATAACAATATTATATTCAATCTCATTTTTTGAACGTGATGGGCCATGGGCACACACACATACAATACATGTATGTATAATATATTATAATTATATATATATATATTATAAGTATATATATATATATTTATCCCATGTTCTGAAAATAAAAGAAAAACATAGTACAGTAATCCAAAAGTGTTCACCCAACGATCCATCGAAAATTACCCGATAAGCACTGCGGTTTGGATTTTGAGTCATCAAAATTGGGATTCAAAGCTACAACGATTGGGGTGCAAAAGCATCCACCATATCAGATAGTGGTGATCAAAAAGGACTATACCTGTGGCGACAAGATTTTCGCCATCCAACTGTGCACCATCAACAGCCAGTTGCTGTAAGTTTCTGCAAAACATACATTAGTTACATTAAATATTTCAGATATGTGTGATCTAAAAAAATGAAAAGCAAAGATTGGATCGGCATCAATGACACCAGGCTGCCGCGTGGCGAGTCTTGGCTGTGGCCGGTGAACAGGTTGACTTAGACAAGGTCGGATCTGGGGATCGATGCTGGGTCAAGCGACTGGTTACCCTCTGGTAATTTGTTACAGTTTGCTATTGAAAATGGCCATAGAAATAGTGGATTTATCCATTGAAAATGGAGATTTTCCATAGTTATGTTAGTTTACCAGAGGGAAGATACGAACTAGTACAGCTTATTTTTTTGCTATCAATGACACAATCTACTAACTAGCTAAAAACTAGAATCATTTTTGTGCCAGGTATCTCAGTAAAAAACAAACATGTGACGGTTTTTGGGATTTCACCATGAAAGATATTGAAACATGGGGAATTAACCAACAATGGCGTAACAATGATGGCTTTTCATGGTTGTATAATGGAAATATGATGGAGATAAGATGGGATACCCTCCAGTAATCAAACATGGCTAGCTGAAAATCACAGATAGATGGAGGTTTATAGCTGGGAACATCAATTATACATGTGGCATTGTTGCGAATTAAACATCGGGAGATCATTGATGAATCCTGGTTGATTGATGGTTGGTTGGCTATGACATGTAGGTTTTACCGCCAATCTGGATTGTATACTAGGAATACCTATTCATCAACCAATACAATGGAATGGGCTAGGGCTATTTTTCATGACTCAGTTGTGCTTTATACCCGCCAAAATGTGTCGCGACCTAAGAGAACAGTGGGTTGTTACCCAGGAATTTCCGGCGACTTCACCAACATGCGGAATCCCTGTATCAAAACTGAAACCACCCATGCAACTGTCCAAAGCTTCGTAGCCAATTCCTGGGATGTCCGAAATAAGTTGATGAGGAGTATATGCGAGTTTAACATATAATGTTAATACATATGTACGGACAGACGGATGAATTCACTCACGGACAGTCATACAGTGCGTGCATGCATGCATACATTCATACATGCATACATGCATGCATACATACATACATTCATTCATTCATACATTCATACATTGATACATACAAACATACATTCACACATTCATTACATACATACATACATACATTCATTCCTTCCTTCCTTCATTCATTCAATCATTCATTCATTCATGCATTCATTCATTCATTCATTACATACATTCATACATTCATTACATACATACATACATGCATGCATGCATACATACATACATTCATTGCATACATACATTCATTACATACATACATACATACATACATACATACATACATTACATACATAAATTCATTCATTCATTCATTCATTCATTCATTCATTCATGCATTCATTCATTCATTCATTACATACATACATACATACATACATTCATACATTCATACATTCATACATTCATTAATTCATTACATACATACATACATACATACATGACATGACATGACATGACATGACATGACACACATAACATACATAACATACATAACATATATAACATACATACATACATACATACATACGTACATACATACATACATACATAAATACATACATACATACATAACATACATACATAACATACATACAATCATTACATACATACATTCACATCACATCACATCACATCACATCACATCACATCACATCACATCACATACATACATACACACATACAGACATACATACATACACACATACACACATACACACATACACAGACATACATACGCATACATACGCATACATACGCATACATACGCATACATACGCATACATACGCATACATACGCATACATACGCATACATACGCATACATACGCATACATACGCATACATACGCATACATACACATACATACGCATACATACACATACATACGCATACATACGCATACATACGCATACATACACATACATACACATACATACACATACATACACATACATACACATACATACACATACATACACATACATACACATACATACACATACATACACATACATACACATACATACACATACAAACACATACATACACATACATACACATACATACACATACATACACATACATACACATACATACACATACATACACATACATACACATACATACACATACATACACATACATACACATACATGCACATACATACACATACATACACATACATACATACATACACATATATACATACATACATACACATACATACACATACATACACATACATACACATACATACACATACATACACATACATACACATACATACACATACACATACACATACACATACACATACATACATACATACATACTTATTCATACTTACACAACCTCAAACATACTTATGTATTTATGTATATAAATATATATATATATACACATGTACGTATGTAAACACGTCATGCCCTCCCAACAAAAGAATTGCTTATATACATTCAAGTATATGTTTACTAATGAATCCCGGTTCAGAAACCGAACTCCCTGTCGTTTCAGACACCTGTAGCGTTTCAGAATCCAAAAATCAATTTTTCAGAAACCAACATGAATGTGTCTGTAACCAAAATCGAACAAATACCAAACTGCTTTCAGGGGTTAACGGAATAAATCGGCCGTGCCCGTGTAACAAACTGCCATACTCCCACGGAAGACAATACCATACTGCTATCAGGGATTACATATTGGATTACTGTAAATCTCCCACCTCCATGGAAGAAAAACGGCTGATGATGCCCACAAGCAACATATATGTTGCTTTTATGTTTTGTTACTTCTCCACTAGTTTCCGGAATATATCGCATCCCATGTCTACATACACCTAGACATCAATAGTTTGCTTTTGGTAATACAACAGTTTGCCATGAAGTATATTGATGTTAAAAACAAGAGTGAACCATCGAACCCAACGCGCACTTTTCTATATCAATCCACTGTTTTGCTGGTATCCACATCTGTCCATCATTTTTCATGGTTGAAACATGTTAAACCCATGTATTTCCATGGCCTATAGCCATCTTAAAATTTCCAGGTGGTAGGCATAATCCAATGATAGCGGGTCACCACCTGAGCTTCAGTGCCAATTCGACTGGATGATATCAGGCCATCGTGTCGTGGCAAGAGCTTTGCAAATTGGCCAAAGAGCTTTCAGCTTCCGAAGAGGCACAGGTCCCAAACAGGTGATTTAACTATCAAAAGGATTTCTTATTGATGAACATGGTGAAACAATGTGCAAGACATGGTTATCATGTGGTCATAGTATGATTATAAATGGTATAGTACTAATATGGTATGTATATATATAATATAGTCATGATATGGTTATAATATAGTCATAGTATGGTTACATACTTCAATGGTCAAGACACAGTTTTTTCTGGGATTAAACCAAACATGAACAAGGATATCATGGATGTTTTCCATAGGAATGCAACTAATTTCCATGTGAAACTATTAAGTCTTCACCTAGTTTCACTAGTATTAGGGGTAATATGATTCTTGGTTATTTAGGGATTTCCTGAAACTAATACTGTTTGATGATTTTTAGGGGGGTATTACCCTTTTATGTATTGGGGATTATCCCAATCACTGGGAAATCATATTGCCAACCAGTATCAAGGGATATCGGTTTTGAAACTGCTCACATGATTTGAGGGCTTCATGGTTTCCCTATGTTCCAAGGAAATATTGTTATAATTGGTGTATGAACCCTGGTACAATTGGCTGGGTCAACCTTGGTTAGATCCTTTAGTACTTTTTTTGCTATCAATGGTGAAATGTACTAAAAAACTAAAAACGAGTTTGTTTTTTTTACCAGGTATCTAAGATTCACCATGAATTGGAATCGATTAGAGGTTCCAGCTGCAGTTAGTCGACAGTAAACACATTTTTCTGCAAATCAGGCAAACAGTGTTTTTTGTCCCAATGCTTTTGTTTTGTGCGTTTGTTTTTTTGGGCCCAGGTAATTGCGGACGAACTTTTCCATGGCTTCAAAACTGGAAGACAGTTAGGGCCAACATGTTGTAGTCACCAACAACCATGAAACAACTTAAGATGTACTTTTCGGTGATCAAAAAGGTGAGAGAAACACTGATAAACACGAAAAAGAGAGCCTGAGAAAGAGAATAGTATATTTATGTTCGTAGTCAAAGGTCTCACTCTGTGGTTTCATGTTTGTTTTTCGTGTTTGTTATTGTAAACGACCATTATTTCATCCTATATATATATATATGTATGTACTGTTATATACATATGATATATCCATCAGTTTCTTCTCAAATTCTTCTGGATGACCAATCACAGCCGAATTTCATATTAAAACTTGTGGCGCAATACCGACATGTTTTTGGATGGCAAAACATACCTCTGATTTCCTTTGATTTCCCGCCATCCTACCCTGATCGACATGGACTCGTAGGGCGACCCATCAGCCACCCAAAACAAACATTGGGCATGGGCATTGAATGATCCATAAGCGGGTGAATATAGATAAATGGAGTATATTTCATAATAGGTGATGTTATCAGATAAATTGAAGTTATACGAGACACACGTGTAAAAAAAGAAGGCTTAATCGATAAAGTCCATCCAATTTTATGGATGATGTAAGCTTTTACTTGGTTTCATGAAGATCCTGGGAACCAAATCGTCCATCATGCATCAATGGTGGATTTCCAGTTGCCTGGTGGAGGCAGCAGCACTCTTCGGCCTATCCAAAGCGCACCTGACACGTCTAAGTCGCCTGGCGGGCGCACGGCACGGCACGCAGGGAGGTTGTAACGTTTTTTTGTTGCCATTCAAAATGTAGCCCTGTTGATGGTGAGTGATATTTACTGATTTACCCTCTGGTTATTTAACATAGCCATGGAAAATGGCCCATTTATAGATTACCTATTAAAAATGGTGATTGTCTATAGCTACGTTAAATAACCAGAAGGTAACTATTGTGACTAACAAATTCAGGATTTCACCATTGAAGATCTGGGGATATTGTTGACACATAATACTTGATTGATTGTTGATGGGTTGCTATTGGGGGTTATTATACTACCTGGTTTAGAGCAAATATACTAACTAATTATTCCATTTCACAGGGATACCTATCCATTACAGTAGCCAGTATATTGTGATGGGATTGGATATGGGTATTTTGAACACTGCTCATTTGAGGTCTTGAAAAGAACTGTGCAGTTCATCAACCAGAATATCTGCATGGAGTAAATGGGAAGGTTACCAAGTAACCACCCACCGTGCCTGTTCAAACAGGAAGGTTGAACAAGTTGGAAAACACAGTGGTTGGATAAGTTGAATGAGTCACCAAGTGGTTCAGAGAGCCAGGAGTTTACCAACACTGTCTTAAAACTTGTCAAAAGTGTAGCCCAAGATTTCTTAGATCCGCCATTGTTGAACTAGTAGCCTACAGCCAAAATAAAAAAAACTCAACAGGCAACCCATGGGGGCATGTCAGCAAGTGGCTCTACCGTGATACACCAAATGCCAAAAACCATCTAATTTTGGGGATGGTTGAAATTCCAACCATTTATGGTAAAGTTATGTAAAATTTGGTATAATTTATTATTGGGTTAACCGCACTATTATGATTCTTTACCCAAAGCAATGCAAAGCCAGTGTCCATCAGGCAGAGGCAGGTCGCTCCGTCACAGATATGATATGGGTTTTTAGAAAAATGCGCAGTGTTTTATCTAAAGTATAGCACTATATATGGAATATGTAGATATAACATGATATAACACTATATATATATGGTCGTCCTGTGTGTATAACACTATAGCAACAAACCAACAATGCGCAAGCTCATGTGCCCGAGGAATATCATAGGGAGTTGGATCATACCCTATAAGTCAAACCTATAAGGGATCTTTTACACGTTCCGTGTTCTTCTCATTTACGCCTATTTTAGGACCTGTAGCTAATCAATGTACATTTAATGTTCGTTCACATTTGTTACATGGCTTTGTTCTAAACATGGTTTTCTTCTAAATGTAATCTTACATTTTCAGGGTCCTCTGATGTTTGTTTGAACAAACATGGGGAAAATGATTAAAACAAAACATGTAAGCTCACTTTTTGGATGTGTTTTAAAATTGTAAGCTGATATGTTTAAGGTCACCTTCTAAAACTAAACACTCTGTAGATAGGTCCTCCACAACTAGACGGGTAGTGATCATAGCGTTTGGTTTCTGCAGAAAAACGGAACCCCCAGTCCTTCCCCAAGCAAACTGGCAATGTGTTATGTTCAACAGACAAAACCACCATTGGGCACTTTATGGGCGCACCTGAATCTTCATGCCAGTTTGTGTTTTTTCAGTGACCGGGTTTAGTTTATCAAGCGCCAAGCATGTCAAGTTTCTCCAGTTTTATGTGATGTCACCCTATCAGGGAGAACCTCCATTACCAGTTATTCGGATGTGCAGCGGCTGGTGGCATCCGCCCATCATTTCATGAAGGTTAGCACCCCCCTAAGCTTAGTTCATGGAAGTAACTCGTGCCGAGTTTTTCAGGTTCTGAAAATCACCTGTCAGACCCTATAGAACCAATCCAATGCCGTGAGATTTTCATGAAGTGGATTAGTTGCCTTCATAATCTCAGATAAGGAAGTTAGTACAACCCCCAACAAATTCACCCATCAACCATCAATCAAGCATCATGTATGAACGATATCCATCGATATCCCCTGTTTTTGTTTGTGACAAAAAACTATTAGTTACGTTAAATCCATTTGTTAATGGTGAACTCCCGTATACGTACGTAATATGTACGCATATGTACTAGTTAGATTACTAAAATCCCATGTTCCCAATCAACAGAGCTTAGTGAATATTACTGTGGGTTATGTATAGTCATGATGATCACCAATAAAGCAGATCCAGCTTGAGATTATTATCATAATAGCTTCATGACATGTCAAACTATCTAAGACCATATATATATATATACATAGTTGTTAGGGTGGTGAATATTGTACATCACTATGTATCATATCCACCAGCCATGATTATGTTGGTAAATCAATAAAAATAAAAAACTAGACGACGGTTGGCCCGAGAGCGAAAAAGACGTTTTTCAAGCAGCTCTGAGTATGGTAGTCGTAAAAAATAGTCGGTGAATGGTTGGTGAATTTTATATGAGCTATGGAGGGGTAAGTTGTGAAAAGTAAGATTGATTAAGAAGAGGATACATGTGACAACCCATGCATATGCACTGTGCTGCTTGGTAAAGGGCATCATATGACACGTGTCTTGCAACCACAGAGAGACATAGATAGAGAGAAAGGGGGAGAGAGAGAGAGAGAGAGAGGGAGAGAGAGAGAGAGAGAGAGAGAGAGAAAGAGGGAGAGAGAGAGAGCAGGGTCTTCTGTTGTTAGTATTGAGACACTATATTGCAAGACAATATAGTAAAGATGTATTTTAGGCAGGCGAGACAAGTAGTATCAAGACAATATATTACAAGTACAAAACACTAGTTTGCATCCTATCCTTCGTATTGTTTTTCACACACAGAACCTCTTACACACAGACGCTTTTGCACAGAAGCTGTTACACACAGACGCATTTACACACATACGCTTTTACACACAGAAGCGTTTACACACAGACGCTTTTATACACAGAAGGTTTTACACGCAGACACTAGACACTTTTACACACATAGGCTTTTACACACAGACGCCTTTACGCACAGACACTAGACACTTTTACGCACATAGGCTTTTACACACAGACGCTTTTACACGCAGATGTTTTTAGACACACACACACTTTCACACACAAACGCTTTTACACACAGACGCTTTTACACACAGAAGCTTTTACACACAGACGGTTTTTACCCACAGACGCTTTTACACACAGACCCTTTTACACACAGACACTTCTACCCACAGAAGCTTTTACACACACACACGCTTTTCTTTTACACACACACACACTTTCACACACAGAAGCTGTTACACACAGAAGCTTTTACACACAAACACTTTCACAGTGCACACACAGAGGCTTTTACACAGAGGCTTTTACACACAGACGCTTTTACACACAGAAGCTTTTACACACAGACTCCTTTACACACAGACGCTTTTACACACAAACACTTTCACAGACGCGTTTACACACAGAGACTTTTACACACAGACGCTTTTACACACAGACACTTTTACACGCAGACGCTTTTACACATAGGCGCTTTTACACACAGACGCTTTTACACACAGACGCTTTTACACGCAGATGCTTTTACACACACACACACTTTCATACACAGAGGCTTTTACACACAGAAGCTTTTGAAGAGTGTCTCTATATGACATTTTATGGTCCTGAGCTCCAACTGTTCTGTTTTTGACATCAAGCACATGATGGCATTGAGCTCTGTTGCAAACGTTTGCAGACATTTCACTAGTGAAGTATTGTCACATGTGTCATTTACAGCATCATGGTACCGATCTTTTTTGGGCCATTTATGTGGGATTTTCCATAATAAAATGAAATAATATGTGTAATACACAGCATCATGGTACCGAGCTTTTTTGGGCCATTTCTGCGGGATTTTCCATACTAAAATGAAATGACATGTGTCATACACGGCATCATGGTACCGAGCTTTTTTGATAGTTTCTGTGGGATATTCCCAGAATAAAATGAGATAACGCGTGTCATTTACTGCATTATGGTATTGGACCTTTTTTTGTGCAAACGTTCGCAGACATTTCACTAGTGAAGTATTGTCACATGTGTCATTTGCAGCATCATGGTGCCGATTTTTTTTGGGCCATTTATGTGGGATTTCCATAATAAAATGAAATAACATGTGTCATACACAGCATCATGGTACCGAGCTTTTTTGGGCCATTTATGTGGGATTTTCCATAATAAAATGAAATAACCTGTGTCATACACAGAGGCTTTTACACACAGAGGCTTTTACACACAGATGCTTTTACACACACACACACTTACGCAAAAAAGGCTTTTACACACAGACGCTTTTACACACAGACCCTTTTACACACAGACGCTTTTACACACAGACACTTTTACACACAGACACTTTTACACACAGACACTTTTACCCACAGACGCTTTTACACACAGACCCTTTTACACACAAACACTTTCACACACAGAAGCGTTTACACATAGACGCTTTTACGCACAAAAACTTTCACACACAGAGGCTTTTACACACAGAAGCTTTTACACACAGACGCTTGTACACACAGAAGATTTTACACCCAGACGCTTTTACACACAGACACTTTTACACACAGACTCCTTTACACATAGAGGCTTTTACACACAGAAGCTTTTACACACAGAGGCTTTTACACACAGACGCTTTTACACACAGGCGCTTTTACACACAGACACTTTTACACACAGACGCTTTTACACACAGAAACTTTTACACACAGACACTTTTACACACAGAGACTTTTACACACAGACCCTTTTACACACAGACGCTTTTACACACAGACGCTTTTACACACAGAAGCTTTTACACACAGACACTTTTACACACAGACGCTTTTTGCACACAGACGCTTTTACACACACACACACTTACCCACACACACACTTTCACACACAGATGCTATTACACAGAGGCTTTTACACACAGACGCTTTTACACACAGACGCTTTTGCACACAGACACTTTTACACAGACACTTTTACACACAAACACTTTTACACAAACGCTTTTACACCCAGACGCTTTTACACACAGACACTTTTACACACAGACTCCTTTACACACAGACGCTTTTACACAAAGAAGCTGTTACACACAGAAGCTTTTACACACAGACGCTCTTACACAGAAGCTTTTTACACACATACTCCTTTACAGACAGACGCTTTTACACACAGAAGCTTTTACACACAGACACTTTTACACACAGACGCTCTTACACACAGAAGCTTTTACACAGAGACTTTTACACACAGACACTTTTACCCACAGAAGCTTTTACACACACACGCGCACACACACACACGCTTTTCTTTTACACACACACACACAGAGGCTTTTACACACGGACGCTTGCACAGAGACTTTTACACACAGACGCTTTTACACACAAACACTTTCACACACAGAGGCTTTTACACACAGAAGCCTTTACACAGAGACTCCTTTACACACAGACGCTTTTACACACAGAAGCTTGTACACTCAGAAGATTTTACACCCAGACGCTATTACACACAGACACTCTTACACACAGACGTCTTTACAGACAAACGCTTTTACACACAGACACTTTTACACACAGACACTTTTACACACAGAGGCTTTTACACACGGAAACTTTTACACACAGACACTTTTACACACAGAAACTTTTACACAAAGAGGCTTTTACACACAGACACTTTTACACACAGACGCTTTTACACAGTTGCTTTTACACACAGACGCTTTTACACACAGACGCTTTTACACACAGACGATTTTACACACAGACGCTTTTACACACAGACACTTTTACACACAAAAGCTTTTACACACAAACGCTTTTACACACGGCACTTTTACACAGACACTTTTACACACAGACGCTTTTACACACACCCTTTTACACACAAACACTTTCACACACAGAAGCGTTTACACACAGACTCCTTTACACACAGACGCTTTTACACACAGAAGCTTTTACACACAGAAGATTTTACACAAAAACAAAACTTTCACATTCAGACGCTTTTACACAGACGCTTTTACACACAGAGGCTTTTACACACAGAGGCTTTTACACACAGAGGCTTTTACACACAGACACTTTTACACAGACGAAAGCGTTACGATTGACACTTTAAAATTGCATTTTTTGCTCAATTTTTGACGTCCAACGTCCATTTCGTGCGAAAGGGTTACGATTGACCAAGATTGACAAAAAGTCGCAATTTTGACGTCCAACGTCCATTTCGTGCGAAAGGGTTGCGCGCGACCAATCAAAATCGCAATTTTACCTAGGTTTTGGTCCAACGTCCATTTCGTGCGAAAGGGTTGCGTTTCGTGGCGCTCCGGCGGCACCGCCCCCGCCTTAAGAGAGGATAGAAGAAGAGCGAGAGGAGATCTGCAGATGTGAAGGTGTGAAGATCTAGATCTGCAGGTGTGAGGGTGTGAAGATCTAGATCTGCAGGTGTGAGGGCGTGAAGATCTAGATCTGCAGGTGTGAGGGTGTGAAGATCTAGATCTGCAGATGTGAGGGTGTGAAGATCTAGATCTGCAGGTGTGAGGGTGTGAAGATCTAGATCTGCAGGTGTGAAGGTGTGAAGATGTAGATCTGCAGATGTGAGTGTGTGAAGATCTAGATCTGCAGGTGTGAGGATGTGAAGATCTAGATCTGCAGGTGTGAAGGTGTGAAGATCTAGATCTGCAGATGTGAGGGTGTGAAGATCTAGATCTGCAGGTGTGAAGGTGTGAAGATGTAGATCTGCAGATGTGAGGGTGTGAAGATCTAGATCTGCAGGTGTCAAGGTGTGAAGATCTAAATCTGCAGATGTGAAGGTGTGAAGATCTAGATCTGCAGATGTGAGGGTGTGAAGATGTAGATCTGCAGGTGTGAAGGTGTGAAGATCTAGATCAGCAGATGTGAAGGTGTGAAGATGTAGATCAGCAGATGTGAAGGTGTGAAGATGTAGTATAACGGCTGCTTTTTTTCGAAGAACCTTTCGCAGGCGCTCTCGGGAACAAAAAACAGTTCCATATGATGTACAACATATGGCTGGTTGGAATGGCAGATGATTATTATTGTGGTATAAACAACATATGGCTGACAATGGAATCAAGCCAATTGTACAAAAATGGAAAACATCCCACCATAATTATGGTAAACATCCCACCATAATAATGTATCATTCCCCATTTTCACCCCATTGTTGGTGCTATGTTTCCCATCACCCATCACCCGTGAAACGAGGCCGAAAGCTCAGCAGCTGTGCCATCGCCTGCAAGGATGATACCATCGAAGTGCTGCGAGCCGCGAAGGCGAAACCGGTGATGGTGATTTCACCGGCTGAACTAACTGGTTTTTTCTGGAATTGGGATGGATAGATATGGGATAAAAAATATGGAGTTACTTAAAGAACTCAAAGTATCCTTGGGTTGGTTTTAATTGGCTCATTACAATCCATCATTGAAAACATCACCAGAACCCACCGAAGGGAGGTCTAACGCTTCAAATACACAGTTGTTGGTCAAAAAAAAAAGTAGCTATAGACTCTCCCAGCTGAACAATGTGATATATAATATACATTAATATACCATAATAAACCCATGGTTTTATGACTTTGGAGCAATTTTCATGGGCACTTGCAGTGTCAAAGTATACCCCAAACTGGGACCGTTGGGAAAAAAATTGGATAAACCTAACGATATGTCGAGGGTTTGGCCTTGCAGGAAGCTCATCGTCTCTACAAGCAAGAGAGCGACAGCATGGGGCAGGCCGCGGACACCTTGGCTCCTGGGAAGGTATGATCGGACCCTCAAGCCTATCCATTTGGAAGTCAGGGTTAATACAGAGTGCTCTTTGGAGACTCCGATGGAGAAATATGTAGCATATCCCATATATATATAATATATATATATCCCACATTGAAGATAGACAGCGGGGCATAAGACATTGTGCACCGCTATGGCCATCGTTGGCTTGTGTAAGATGTTGGGAGATTGTTCTGGGTTTGTTGAACTTTCTGTATTTGTTTCCACCGTTGGATCTACACCACATCAGACTCCAAGTTTGAAGAGGATGGCAAGCTGCCAAGTGTCCAAAAGGTATTTCACCTGTGATGATGATCCACGCTGACTGTACCAACAGTCTCCCAAGCACTTTGGCACTCCTGTCATTTGTTTGTCTCACCCCAACCGGCCGCGTTCAACGCTGAACCCGTGGGTCAGTTCCTCCTGATACCCCGAAATTGGCATCAACCCATCCACAGATGTCGTTTATTGGTCTCGTTTAGTGGGATATGGCAGCTATGCCGTGATCCGTAATTGCATACATAGCATCAACGGATAAACAATCGAGATGTTTACCCCACTTATGTGTGGGATAAACCATCCACATATTAAATGATGACAAATTACAGACCCATGTGTAGTTTTATCATGTTTTATCATCCTTCAGTATTTAAAAACATCATCGAAATCCGCATATATATATAATTATATATATATATGTTTATTATAAAGTTTATATACATGCATTATAAATATCACATCCATGGCCCAAACTCAAAAAATCACCAAAAATGTGTTTTTCTTGGTTGAACAACAAAAACTTGATGTTTGCTCCTTGACGATAAAACAGTTATGGCCCAACCAACAGTTTTAAATGTAATTTAACCGCCTTCGGCGTGTTCCGCCGGCCACCATGGAAAGAGCTATCCAAACAGCCCTGCACAGGCTCAGCAAAAACATGATTTTTGCGTAAAACATTGTGTTTGTGGATAACACAGTTTTCGTGTAAAACAGCTCTTTGTGTAAAAGATGGTTTGGACGCAAAAGCATTGGTTTTGTTCCAACCACGGTTTAAGTTTAAACCAAAGCATGTGTGTAAACCAGGGTTTTGGAAAAGGCCATATTGAGAACGGCTTTGGAAAAGGCCATGTTTAGAAAGGTTATGCGTGTAAAAGGTGTTCGGCACAAAAGCCAAAGGATCAAGTATTGGATAGAAGAAGCGACGGAGCAAACCGCAAACACAACAAAAAACGGAAACAACCATCGACATGACAGCAAGATGTGCAAAACCAAGCCGGTGTTGAGCGAGGCGCGGGCAGAGTTGAGCCCACCACAACGTAAGGAAAGATCAAGACGAAACGAAGAAGAACTAGGGGGGTTTCAAGTTATACTCGGCAAAAATCCGTGCCAAGGGGAAAGTCTAGACAAGACAAAGACAAAACAGACAGTACAACTACGAACAAGCAAGATCCACAAGACACGCCGGCAGGCCGGCGGAATACTGTATAACTCCTATAAGTATAACTAAGTTTATTTATATATATATATATCATTATAAAGCCATAGAAGTAACTGTTATTCGGACCACAAGTGTATGATGCCCTGCAGTCGCCACTGGCCGCAGATCAACACGCTGCAGCTCGTGGCGAAAGTGTTGCTCTTCAACGGGGTGCACCCAGATGTGGTCGAGGCTTGGGTTCGAAGGCACGACAGTTATGGCCATTAAGAGTTATATAAATGGGTTTATAATGATGTATGGGGGTTTCCTAAAATGGGGGATGCCCCAAAATCATCCCTCCATATAACCTTAGTTATAATTATAGGAGTTATAATTCCATTTATACCTGTTAAGGGCCATAAGTGTATGTTAGGTTTTTTTGGGCTCCTTCAAAGGGGGGATAGATGGAATGTAGGAAGCGATAAAGATTCATCCACTTCTCCTCTTTCCTTGGATTTCGTCTGGGGAATCCGATAGTGGTGAAACATGGTGAAACTAGCTATAGATAGCGACAGCAGATATATGATATATGAATATATATGATGTGTATGTGTATATATAGTAAAACGTGTGTCACTGGGGTAATTCGTGGTAATTCATCGCATCTGTATATTTATATACATATATAAATACGCTTAGAAATAAATAAATTAGTATATATATATTAATTAATTAATTGGTTAATTACATATATATGGGTAAATTATAACGACTTCACTGTTCTCCCTCACTATAATCATGGTTAATAAGTTGAATCATCCCCAAGATAGCCTTAATTCAGGTTAGTGAATTATTATAATTTACCCAGATATATACACAAATATAGCCAGGATATGCCAGGACTGCTATCATTTCTGCACGGCTCAGTACCTGGGAGCACCCTGCCCGAAAGTGGTCCAAGCTCCCCGGGAAATTCTCAGTTTGCAAAGAACACTTTCTATTTCTATCAACGTATAGTTACTGCATATTATAGAATTTTCACGTATATGCAAAATATTGCAAAATCAATTTTTTTAAGATCATTTGTCATATAAGTATTTTCCCATTTGAAATGGATACATGGGATAAACAATCGTGGAATCAGAAAATCATACCAAAAAAACAAAAGGTGGTCATGTCTAAATCTGCCAAGATTATCTACGGGGCATTTTTTTATCCACGATCACTGGGAAATCCACCAAGAAAAGTGGCAATTTTTCATGGGGAAAATGGTGACCAACCTATGGATTTAGAGGTGACCAACCGTCCAGTGTTTGGCTCGGACAGGCCAGCAACGATCCGGAAGAGATCTTCGCCGCAGTGATGAGTCACCTGTCAGAAATGGACCAATGGCTGGGGAATGTTTTGGAGGCAAAAACCTGGGGGAAAATCTCAAAATATGTGGTGATTAGATGGGTTATATATGGATATTACATGGGTATCAAATGGGTATCATGTGGGTATCATATGGATATGATGATATATTATCATGATTGTTGTTGTACTATATTGGTATCATAGGTATTATGAATCCTAGTCCTCTAATATTAAACACCCCCCAGATGATCCCAAATATGTGTAAATTCTCACTAAACCATGTTTTTTGGGAAGTGTTTAATATAAGGGGGAAGCGCGTATTATTGTTAGTCTTGGTTATTTTCATTTGCTTATCATTTGGATATTAAACATTATTGGATGATTATTATTGGAGAATTAAGTAATACTTATAAAACAAATGCTACGTGATATTTTTTGTCTATGTTTGGCACACATCACCATCACCATCACCATCACAATCATCATCATCATCATCATCATCATCATCATCATCAAACACGTCATGGTAGATGGTGTATATATATATATACATAATGTCTTCCTTTCACTGGGTTACTGTTAAATGTGGCATGGTTGGAGGATTGTTTATGTTTCCCCCCCCCCCCCCCGCCAAAAACATGTCATCCCAAAATCCAAATTCATAGGGTTGATGCAATATCACCATTTTAAGGAAACCATAAGCATGGTAGGATGACTATCCCCCATAGATGTTTTTAACCACGGCGCGTATGGTCATGATGGTAGCTCTAATCAGATGAGCTACAGCCAAAATTATCGTAATAGAGAGTAGTATTCGATGCATCTCTACTTTGTGAAATTGAGCTGGGGCATGGAAAACGATAGTACACTCTTCAAAAAAACGATAACATGTGCTTATGTTTGATCTTGGTCATCAGTCATCCTTTGTCTTACTGTGCAGGTTATTCAATGCCTTTATGTAGGCATTCAATAGCATTCACCATCTGTTTGAGAGATAGGCAAACGGCAAAATCCTTTTACAACAGGTGCTACCTGGTGATGTGCATTGCTGTGTGGTGATGGTCTGTCTATGCTGCTGTTTGCGCTGCATGCTGAGTAAATTTCAAGTACTGCACGGCCACATATCAGTTTTTTGCCTCAACTCTTGCTAGTGACGACGCGCCATGCCGGAGAAAGGAACAAGGTCTTGCCTTGCGGCAGGAACAGTGTGGGTGCTCTAGATTCCGCTCTTTCCTTTATTCCTTTTGGAAAGCCTCAAGCTTTGTTCAAGACAGCATTAAGAATTTTCAAAAGAAGGGTTTCCCAGAATCATTGTTTTGCAGTTTTTTTTGATCCAACCAGCTGTCCCAAACGATAGCCCGAACGAAAACGAAACGATATCGGCCAGACGCTGGCCCATTGCTTGCTGAAAAACTGCTTTTCTTGGCACATGTTGCTCGTCCAAAATGAGCAGCAAGCAAGCGCAAGACATGGCAGGGCTCAGATGTTTCCCGAATGAGTTGTTGGAACTGAAAGTGGAAGATGTGAAAGCGAAATTTTCGTGCGAAACTTCCCTCAAAATCTGAAAATGGACGATGTGAAAATGAAGCTTCGTGCGAGACTTCCGTGGTGGTTGTGATAGCGGTGGTGGTGACAGTGGTGGGTGACAGTGGTGGTTGTGGTGTGATAGTGGTGGTTGTGCTAGTGGTGGCGACAGTTCCATGAAGAAAATGAATGTCCGAAAATTTCGTTTGATTGTGCTGCTGCATATGAAAGTGTCAGGAAATATCTCATCCCTTGCTGGTAAACCATCAGAATACAATGGAATACACAGGGAATACGAACATTGTTTCCCAAAACCTGAAAAACGATAATGCGCCTCTCAAAGTTTGATGACTTGGAACTATATATTAAATATTGACCGTGGCCCAGATAGGAACGGCTTGGTTTATCGCTAGTTTAGACATGGACGTGTCCTTTCTGTCTTTCTTAGGATTGTTATATTCCAATATTGTGTAGCATACGGTTGGATTGTGTAACATGTTTGAGTATTATATGTTTCTGCTATTTGTATGGACATTATCATTTTGTTCGCCAACAAGAAGACAGGAAATTTCAGGATTGGTTGGGAAATCTTCGCGGGACACCTCCGTGGAGGGTCAGAACCCATGGTTTCCAGTAGATTTTCTTATTGCTTGAATGAATGTCAACCTTAGTATGTTAAAACCCCACTTTTGTTGCTTGGAATTTGGGGCAACCTCAGTGTTCTTGGGGAAGTTGATGAAACAACACTGATGGCAGGTGGTTTCGTCTCAGTATTATTGTTTTTTCAGCCATACACATGGGATGATGATTTCAATTGCCAACTCTTTTTGGAAGGGGTTGGGGTGAAAACTAGCCAGTAATGAAGATTTGACAAAGAAACCCAAATCACACACAAAAAACAGTGATTCCATCTACTAGACTGGATTCCAGTGGGTCAACATTTGCCAGTGCCATGTCAACATTTAAGGTTTTGTCCAAAAATAGGTTACCCTGCTGCATCCAATGATATGAACCATGATTTTGAAAAAAACGGTGGACTTGCTCCCTGGGGCATGTTCCACTTTCTTGACAGACCCAGATATCACATCGATTCTACAACCCAGTATATCGCATCCATCCCTTGTTTGCACAAGTCCATGAAACCGAATCCGGATGATGATCAGGTCAGCTCTCATTTTGGTTGGCTAACCTCCAATCATTTGCAATTATGTTCACTGTGTAAATTATGTATCGCTAAATCCCCATTATTATTAGTTGTCTTTGCCTTGTGCCGAATTCCTGTCCCAAAGTCATATTCTGAACGGCTGGGTGCAGGGTCCTAAGGTTTAGATTTTCTACATGTATCCACATCCCCGTGCTCCAGGTGGTGCCTACAGCAACCCTAAGAACGCGTTGCCCCCGAAAGCTGCAACGAAGCCATTGAAGCTTGAGGAGGTGGTGCCAGATAGCAAGCAGTACCTTGGACGGTGGCACCAGCTGTTGGGAAAAGGTGATGGTGATTTTGGGGGATATTTAGGGGATATCCTTCAATAAATGCCACAGTTCAATGATATGTGGGGATATGTTGTGTAAATATTATTTTATATATATATATATACATATTATGCACTATAATGAGGATGTATGAGATGTATGAACCAGTAATATGATGTTTATTGATGTTTTGGTATGTCTGAATATGGGGCATATCTCCTACAGTAACATGATCACTTGGCAGGTAAACTGATGATTTTTACCATCAAACATCATCAAAGTGTTAGGTAACTAACCGGCGGTTGGCCAAGCCATTAAGCAACCCAGCAACCGAACACAGCCGGAGAAATCGTAAACATGATCACTTGGCATTTGCGTCATGGCTTTGGAGCGGAGCTCAGATTAGCCATGAGCTGAACTTCAACAATTTTATATTCATCTCAGGACAAACTCTTGTGAGTTATCGGAATCGTAAGCCCTAAAAAGATGCCGAAAAGATCCGAAAAGGTAGAATTTACCATTACTGTTGAAATGGATGTTGAACTTTTATTTTTTGGGGTTACTCACAGATTATTTCTCACATATGGTTTGCTGGAAAATTCATCGTGCATTTTAGTTTTAAGCCTTTTTATGATTTTACCATTCTATAAAACCTTCAATTAGTTCGGGGATATCCCGGCTTGCAAAGTTTGATTGCCAGATGGTAGATCTGTGAATATCCTATTATTATTAATTATCCAATGATTCTCCCTATTAAAGCAGTATATATATACAGTATGTCTCCCAATGTGTGCTCTGCCGCGCAATTTTTCTCCCGGCTCGCACCTCGTCACAACAGAGCCGTGTACGCGTACGCCATACGGCGTCGCTCAGGCCAGATGCTTTGCATGGCTTCTTTAGAGGGCTTGCTGCCTGGAGGCATATGCAGTGGCATATCCATAAATTTTCGCAACTCCGTATGGAGGTGCGCCGTATCGGGCGGCTTCGCCGCACCAACAGATTCAAAAGTGCGTTTCCAACTCTTGCCGGCAAAGTAGCTGGGACACTGCATGAGTTCAAAAAGCCAGGCTAACGGGTCTATCAAACCCTCACAGGAACCTGCCCTCAGTTCCTGGTACTTCCTCTTCAAATGTGTTTTCAATGGGTGGAAACCTGCTATATCTAACGGTTGGATTTTGTCTGTACATCCGGCTGGTATGTACAGGAGCTGGACACCATTGCGCCGAGCGCACACCATGGTTTCCTTTGCGAGATGTGAGGACGCAACATCCAGCAACAAGATAGGTTGAAATGGATAAGGTTTTAAGACTTTGCCTAGATCGCGCACAATCTTGGTGATGTTCTTGCAGGATGTCCAAGCACTTTTCTGACGTACTATGTGCAGCGCCGTTTGTGGCAAGCGCCGCTGGCCCCTCAGCAACTTCTGTGTCAGCTTGGTCTCAGTCCCAAAAAGGTAGTGCGGCAACTTGCCTTGAATATGCGGCGCATCACAAATGATGCTCACATAGGTCAAAGCCCCTCGCACGTCTTGTTTCCGGACAGGCATGCGAAGACTGGCATGTCGTGGCAAAGCAACGCAGCCGGGCAATTGCAGCATGGTGTAGGGAATGCTAGTTTCGTCTAAATTCAAAAACAGCGGAGTCTTGTCCACAAACTTCGTGTTCACGTAGTAGGAGAGTAACTGCCAAAAGGTTCTCACCTGACAGGGCGAAGCCGAGCAGGGAGGCTAGGAAAACGTGACCACATGTGGGAGGAGGTCCGAATTGAAATGAGCTTGCCCGGCCCCATTTTTGGAGCCGGAAAACGGTCGCAAAAACACGACCGTGCTTGGCGCCTTAGCCTGCACCGTGACTGGGTCCCTCTGCACTTGTGGACGTAGGACTCGGCGCCGCAGGTTCCACTTGGCCCGGAAGCGCTGCACCCATTGATTCACATGCCGGCGAGGCGGCAAACCCTCCAGGAGGCTGCCAAACCGCGCTTTCTCCCACGTGGCATAGACATCCAGCGATAGCGGTGCTACACCGACGTGGTTGCAAGCCAGAACCCAGTTGAAAGTGTTAGCCTCTGCCAGAAAAGCGGCTGCATGCCGCACTGGCCGTGCCCACGGAGTCGCGGAAGGTGTAAAAATGTGCTGCAAGTCTAAGTCTGTGGTGCTCAAAAACAAATCTTCCACCACAACCCGTGTTGTCCCTGAGGTCGGCTTGACTCCTGGCCACAGGGCAGCGAAGCGAAGCGCTAGCTCCATATTGCAGTCCGACAACACATAGACGGCAACGATCGCTTTGCAAGCAAGAGGGCTAAAACCTCCAGAGGCTGCTTCCTTCTTTGCTCGGTATCTGGCATGCTTGGCTTGCACTCCGGCCGCTCTGTTTCTGGCAAGGTCTGCTTGCAAAGTTGCAATGGTTTCTGCTAAAGCCACTGGAGTCGCCGCAGGTGCGTGAGCCATGGGGCAAGGCTGCGGCCACCTGGGTGCTGTCTTGGATGTCTTTGCATGGAAGCCTATACCCTTCTGTTGCTGGGCTGTGACTCTGTGGCATATGAATGCGAAAAATTGGTGCTGTTACAGCCATGTCCTGTGACTCATGTGGCGCTGGATCCACACCGAAGGCCCGACAGAGCTGCTGCATGCAATCTGTGAGTGATGGCTGAGCGGCGGCTGCAACAGATTCTCCATGCTGACCTAAACACAACCTCCTGGACTGCAACTCCTAGAAGGAACCCTTGCAACTCTGAGAAACAATGCACGTGCAGCATGCACCCACATGGCAGAAGCACATTGAGGGTTCAAGCAGCTGTAGACCCAAATCTCCCCCGCAGGCGGTTTCACAAACCTAACCCAAGCCATGCCTTTCTCTACCCCATGCAGGCTGTTACTCCAAATGATAACACGGGCCGGTAAGCTGCACCAAATGCTGATTCTCGCGAATCCATGGTTCGTCATCATCCCAGTCAGTTGATTCATCTATGGTGATCACAATGGGGACCCTGAATAAATAAACCTGATATGAGAATATGTTCGTCTGTGACTGGCCTAAGCGATGAAAGTCTGGGTTTGCCTGAAATAAGGCCCGCTGAGATAGCACAAAGGACATAGAATTGCAATTGTCGAACAGGATAAAGCCGTGAGAATCTCTGTCGTAATGTTGTAACTCAGCGGCCGTGGCACCCTGGACAGTTTGAATGAAAGGAGGCTTCTGGATATACGTAGGCAAAACGAAATGGAGGCATTTTGCCAAGGTGCTTTTGCCAGCGCGCGAAGGCGCCCGGAGCACAAGAAATTTGTACCGAGAATCTAAAATGGAATACTGTTTGGCCCAGTCTTCAACTCGGGCAACCACTTCTGGCAAAAATGGCTTTTGCAATGGCTGGAGCTGAGCCACCACTTCGGCCTGCTCACGTCGGAGGCGACTTTCGCTCTCCTGCTGCATGACTGCTTCCACAGCGCGTTTGCGGGTGATATAGCCCAAGCGCACCTGCAACCTGCTGCACACGGTGTTGACACTTTTATAGTGATAATTCTGGAGACATTGGCCCTCTTTCTGAAAATGCATCTATAGAATCAGAGACCCCAAGGTATTTTCAAGTTGACAATCTCTTTAGAATCGCTGCCCCCAAGTCACTCTCGTAGAGCCGTTTTTTGGTTGGGGGGGTTAGTTGGCCTTCTATAAAATCAGGCTCCCCAAGTGTCATTCATTGACAGCTGACCTGAATGCTCCAGTTGCTCTTGCCTACCTTACCTTATGCATTCCCAATTTTATAGAGCTCAAAGGCTCCAAGTGTTCACTGTCAACCTCTTCGATTATATACAAGGATGATCAATGATGATGAAAGAATTGTTGTGGGAAATTGGTTCTGCCAATACTTCTCTATAGAATTGAAGAACATGACATACACCCAAAGAGAACATATCCAACTATAGAATCGCAGTGGCTAAGGCTCTCTGCTGACTAGGACTCAGTGCTGTATTCAACATGAAATCTCTATAGAATCAGAGGCCCCAAGGTCCTCTATACAATTGAAAGCGTTGACACTGGGTAGGTACCCCTAAACAAAGCAGGGGGTTAAAACGCACCATTTTCCAGGACCCAACGTTCTTGATTCTGTAGAGGAAATTCCAAGGGGGATATTTGAAGGTATCTGAAGATATGTTACGGCCAAATTATTGCTTATGTTCGGACACTTTAGCAGACTCGAAGCAGCACTTTTATAAACAACATAGGTGTTTGTGACGTTCCCTATTCTATGAAATGGACCTGCTATGAAGTGGTCCCACTGAAATTCACATTGGGTTTATGTTATGTTCCATTTCATACAAATCTTTTCGGAGTTGGTCAATATTCTGGTACCCGAAAACTGCCCGCACGCCACCCTTTCGCGAACCGTTCGCGCCCCAGCAGAATCGGGACAAGGAATTCTGATCATGTTTTCGTGCGCATATGTGTTTATAAATAGTGGTATGCAGGCCTCGTTGAATTTTCAGGTTTCTCCATCCCACTTTATTACTTGTATATTATGGTACCCATATTCCAGACCACATAAAATATGATAAAGAAACGTGACTGCAGTTCTCTCCGGCTGCCGCTTCGCACACGTGCGATCCACAGACGCCATGCTGCGACAGCACTGCAAAAAAAAGGAATGGAAGCTGGAAGAAGGGGTGGAAAAGAGGTAGATGTGATGTGGGAACATGGCCGCTGCAAATGATGGAATGGGAAGGATGTGCATGGGGGTAATGTCTTAAAGCTGCTGTTGCTGCTGCGCGCGACAGTACGCAATTACTATAGGCGGGACCGCAGCGGGACCGCGGCGGGACCGCAAAATGTGGGAATTCCCACGATTCCAGGTTGCAGGCGGGACCGGTCCCGCCGTCGGCGGGACCACTTTACCTGTGAATTTATAGGAGCGGGACCGCATACCCCGTTTGGGAATTATAATAATATACCAGGGGGGGTCAGGTGATGTTTTGGAGGTGGGGTGTGGGAAGATTCTTGGGGAGGTGATGTTTTGGAGGTGGGGTGTGGGAAGATTCTTGGGGAGGTGATGTTTTGGAGGGGGGTGTGGGAAGATTCTTGGGGAGATATCTTGTCTATCTAGCGTTGTATCCCTGGATGTCTTCTAAATGGGGTCTCTGGACCGCGCATGTCTTCCAAGCGCTTTGTCTTCGACATGGCGCTTGCAAGTCTGCGGTTTCCAGCTTTCACTCCTGCCGCGCTATGCCTTTGGCATTGGGATTTTCAGCCTTGACATGGTCTCATTCCAAGCGCTCTATGTCTTGACCATGGCGCTTGCAAGTCTGCGGTTGCCAGCTTTCCCTCCTAGTGTCCATGCCTTTGGCATGGTGCTTTCGAACCTTCACATGGCCGCTCTCACTCCAAGCGCTCTATGTCTTTGGCATGGCGCTTTCCACATAGTGCACGGCTTGACTCTACTCATGCGGGCTTGCCATTGGATGCATGCGACGTGCCAGCAGCCACGTCAAATCACTCACATCCAGCTTTCCTGCTTGTCGTAGAAGACGTCTTCGTTTCCTTTCCTGCAGGCTATGGAGTACATGTCTTTCAACATGGGTTCAGCGTTCACATGTCCCACCTGCACTCACGAAAAGACACCGTATCCATGCATTTACATGCACTCTCCTGGTTCTGTAGTTCTTTGGTGGCTGCTGCTAACTGGCGTTTCAAATTTTTGCGCTCTTCCTTCAGCACAGCAACCCTATCAGCCGCGGCCGGTGGGGCTGCAGCTGCCGCGGCGTTTGCATCAGCAGCGGACATGGCACTCAAGGCGGGCGAACAACAGGCTTGCTCCACTCAAACTGCATGCAGTCCTCAAGATGATCCTGTGTTCTCTTTGTGCTTGCCTGGTACCTCCTTTTCACCCCTGTTCACGACCCCAGAAACATGGCTACGAGAATGTGATAAAATGGTCATGCACCGATGTACCCTGATAGTATATATATCCACATAGATCCGATCATTAAACCTCCATGTATAGGACTGAAATGGGACGGAATAAACGTCCAACTGCATGATGAATTTGACTTCCCCCATGCGGCGCGGACCGAATAGGTTGGACAAGAACAAGTTTGCCTGGAGGAACCCCGTGGTCCGGGGCTCGGTTTTATGGATCGAAGTGGATGTGAAACGGATCGAATATTTCACTATTCATCTTAAAAGTGGGCACCAGTTTTTTTATTTTCCCATCAAACACCTTTGGGATAGTTGGGATTTGATCACCCAATGATATTGATACTTAAGTAGTTATCGGGATTGGCTGAAGTCGATGGCAACATATGTTCATCACCGAGGTGTCGATCCATTTATATGCCTCAATTTCCTCTGAATCTCCATATATTTCCTCATAAATTCTGTTAGAACAAACATCCACCACATATCACCATATCACGCCCATAGCCTCTGCCGTGAACACGTCCTTGGCACACGTTAGGCGGGTTTTTGCTACACCGTGGTGTGGCAGCCAACCAAAGACCGGGGAGTTGGCAACAACAAGCGCGGAGCCCAGGGGTGACATATGGAACCAACTTTTTGAACCAACTTGGTATGGAAAATCCAATCTATAAATAAAAAGTTTATAGCTGGGAAAATCATATGTTTCTATGGGCCATGACTTCCAGAGCTATGTTAAAGAACCAGAGTGTAACTTGGATTTGCTAATGAAATATGTATTTTCACAATGGGAAATTCACGATTGTGGAAATCGACTAAGGGAATATTGGATTAATTAAGCGATTATTGATTATTGTTTACTTCTTTGGGGCTCCTGGATTGCAAATCCAAACAAATGATACACAAAATGCATCAAAATGCCATGATGTTCCACCCAATTCTGGACCCTGAGGCCTCGGGGGCAGTACGACATGCTGATGCTGCGCTCTGGCCGGGGTGTCCCAGGGTGCTCAAATTTTGTCCCCCAAAAGGATAGAAAAGTCAACCCCTCATAATTTGATGAAGGTTTTTGCCGGTTATTATCTATATAATTCTATAAATAATATATATTTAACATACAATATAATATACCCTCTGGCAATCAAACATAGCAATGGAGAATCCCCCATTTATAGATAATGTTCTCCCTAACCATCCTTTTCTAGGGGATTTCCCATTGCCACGTTTGATTGCCGGAATAGGAATATGTATATATATATATATACACATCCACCTACACATGTACGTAGGCACAAGTCTACGTGAATGTAGTTATACAGACACTTAACTGTGCATCTCAGGAACCGATATATGAATATCCCAGGTTCCTTTTGAACCGATAAATGGGTGATGGGTGTAATACTGTAACCAACAAATATGGTGATAGAAAATGATAGAACCATGAAGGTGTTGTTGTTGTTGTTTTTTTTCAGGTTTGATTGCTGTGGAAATCTTATATATATATATATACATACGTATATTACATATATACATATACGTATATTATATATATACATAAACCATTTGCAGATGCTTATATATCTATATAGATCATTTATAACCCATTCCTGTGTTGTTTACTTGCCCCATGCGTTGGGGTATAAACTGCCCAGCCAACGAACATCGTATTCATTTTGGCTTTATTTCATATGTTTCTGGATCATCCTTAGCATCAGGTGAAAAATCCTTTAGACCCATTTGGCCCTTTTAGTTCATGAGTTTATATTGAGTTGACATTGAGTTGATGGCATTCAATCGATCGGTGTTGGAATTCTCTCGGTTCAACTGCTGCCAAAGTGGATATGAAAAACATACCAACTCTGGAAGACTTCCGAGTTCCTGTCAACATTATATGTTTAGATATACTGATATACATACTGGTATATATCATTATTCATTTAAATAGTTTTCTATGAACATACGCCTTTGTGTTAGAGTCTGTTTGAGTGTTCGGTCATTGGCGAAGCTAGGTTACAAGCATCATGCGGTGCCAACCTCTGTGGGGCTTCGTTCCAACGACGCCTCCGAGAGGACCCCACGGGTCAAAAGTCGATCGTTGTACCCTTCACCCCAAAAGTAGTTGCAAATGGATCTGAATGACTCAAAAACAAGGGGGTTCATAGGTTTTAGCCCAACCGTATGAGATTTCATAGGTTTTAAAGAATTCCTTTTTGTGGTGTGCACCTATCCCTGCTGGAGAATCATCGTCTGCTGGATGTCCTGTGCTTCAAATAGGTTTTGACCAGGTGCTTCGCCTGGAATTGACTAAGCTCAAATGACTTCCATCCCTTCGGGATGCAAATGTATTAAATGAATATATATATATATATACGTTATGCATATTTATGTATATATATATATTACTATTGTTAAGTGTAATTGTCATTCTTCTTAATTGTTGTATTATACGCTTACAAATCAAGAGGTGGACACACATTTGAACACTTATTTGTTGACATGATGATGATGTTCTTATTAGAAATTCATGGTGCACCAATGCCGATGGGACCGTTTGGATCCACTTGAATTGGGGTCAGAAATCACTTCACTTGAATGGGTGAAGATAAACCAACTTATAATTTGAGGCCTCTACCTATAGGAAAAAAGATCTGTCCGTTGCCATATCTTTCGTTTTTTGAAGTTTGTATCTAAGATTAGCTTATATCATTCTGAGATATTCAACGATGATTGTTGGTTCATATCTCGATGCTTGATTACAAACTCCCATTGCATTGGTGGTTTTCTCACGGATTCCATTCTTAATGCAAATGGGACATCCATTCATTGCCTTGGGTTGAGTGAATCTCGCGCAAGCATCGCACTAGAGCAAACATGATTTCGTCAGGAATGAGCACATGATGGTCTTCATGACGACCCAAGACCACGGCTTGAACTACGCCGTTGGGCTCAGATTTATACAAGTTTGATTGATCATGATTGATCTGGAAAGGCGAAACATAGGTAAACACTGGCGGTAAGTTGTATTATCAAAAAGCATACCCTATGATCACGGGATAGTATGTATATATATATATATGTATATATATATGTATATATATATATATGTATATATATATATGTATATACAGTTTTCCATACATAACGCAGTTTTCCCAGTAAGACTGAGCGTATTATCCCATGATCTTCCCATGGGAAAAAGCATCGCCGCGAAGCGAATCTGACAGATCCACCGAATGGCTGGGAGGTCTATACTGAGATGAATTGGGTATATGTAGAACAGCTGGCAATAGGTTTGTGGAATATGTGTGCCATATTTTTTTTGTTTGTAATGGATACCTTTTAAAGTTGATACTTGGGGATAGTGAACTCAAACAGTGTGTGATTGTCGAAAGTAATCAGTCTACACAAACAGTTTTGATTGAAAATGGCAAGCCCCCGAAAAAGAATGCCTCACTGCCTCACTAGTCCTCACTGTAGTTTGTGAAACTTCGTGAAATATCTATCCTCCAGACCAACATAGCCAGAGGAAATGGCCCATAGAAACTATTTGAGTAGTGAAACTGGCGATTTTCCGTAGTCTTTCAGAGATGATATGCGATATGAAAAACTAAAGCTGAAATCATTTGTGCGGTCATGTCTGGCTATGTTTGGCTCTACCCCCAAGCAGGATTAAGTTTTCCATGGATATATAATATAATATATATATATATAAATTATATATATATCTTTAATTATGTGTTATATTTACAGTATATATTCATATTAGTATATATTATCTATAAATTTGCTTACACAGATATGAAAGTATGGTATGGATGGATGGATGGATGGATGGATATATATATATATATAGACAGATAAATAGATAGATAGATAGATAGATAGATAGACAGATAGATGGATAGATAGATAAATAGATAGATAGATAAATAAATAAATAAATAGATAGATGATAGTATGATAAAAGAAAATATTATATATATAATATTGCTATATCCCAATTACAATACATTCAAAACAGATCAAACAGGTACACTCAGAAAATACTTTGTTTTTTGTTACAATGGATTTTGTGACATATTCCAGGTACATCCCAACGACTTCCCATGTCGCCCAGTCCAGCAGCATGATGAACGTCCAGCACACCATCGGAGGTGTGTCGTGTCCTCAGAGTCCATCGGGATGACCGAGAACTTCTCTTGGAGCACAGCCATAGAAAGTTCGTTGATTTACCCACTAAAAATGGTGATTTACCCACTAAAAATGGTGATTTACCCACTAAAAATGATGATTTTGTTCATAGTTATGTGAGTTTACCAGAGGCTATCTGGTTGGTGGTGACTGGAACCATGGAATTTTATATGTTTCCATGTATTGGGAAGAATAGTAATCCCAACTGACTTTCATATTTTTCAGAGGGGTAGGTATGCCACCAACCAGATAATATAGACAAATGCCCATATGATTTCTTGGATCTGATATGTATTTATCCTATTGGTTATTTATCGATTGGGAGAAATCATATTATTTATTTGGTAAAACAGTATCTATGGTAAACATGTGTTATGTATCTATGATACAGTATCTCCGATTATTTATCATCTATCATTATCATCTACATATGGTAAAACAGTAATCATAGGTAGAATATATTTCTATGTTGATCATATATGTTATCCTCCGGACTTGTTTTCAGAGTATCATCAGATTCAAAAACTGTTTTTTGCATCGAACTGGATGGATCATGTTCGCTATGTAACTAGATGCCAAAGGGTAATTGGCCCAGCGCGCTACCAGAACATATCCCAGCTAGTTCGATGCTTTGCCTATAAAAAATGGGTGTTTTCCATATATGTGCTGTCCCGGAGTGTACTTTGGGGAAACCTGAATTGAAGTGGTTACTTTGCTGAAGTGCTTTGAAGTTCTTAAACATTGCTGGCAAAAGTTGCTTGATTCCAGTAAACTTAATTGCTGATGATATTGTAAACAAATGACACCTATTGAAGCCTGGAAAGGGATCTTCCTGTTTTTGATGGGCATATGATTTGCTTTTGGAATTCATCGAGGAATTCTCCAAGCTGTCAGGTTTGATAGCCAAGCATAGCCGGATCAATGTCTCAGATTTGACCCAACAGCGATGATTGTTGGTTGTATACCCTCTGGTTATTTAACATAGCCATGGAAAATGGCCCATTTATAGATGGTTTTCCTATTACAGTAAAAATGGTGATTTTCCATGGCTATGTTAAATAACCAGATGATAAGTACAAAACATGTGTATGATATGATGACTGGTTGATTAAATGGCCGCAATGAAGGATTTCTGACATGTCCCACTAGTTGAATGACTGTCAAGAATGGTAATAGTTATAATTATTTAATTCTACTAAGATAGCCACGCATTGCATTGATAGTAATCCCAGAAGGATAGAACAATTAAATTTACCATGGCTTACCAAATGCCGTTTTTGCCGGGGTTCTATTGGTACAATGATTTATATCTAGCTCCAAGAGACATGTGAAAGAGGGGTTCTATGGGTTTCTAGTCTACTAGCAGATGTCTTTCGGAACTAGATAGATTGAAATTATATCGTACAAACTGTGTATCAATAGTTATTATTGTAATATAGTTGATTGAAATTGAACATATCCCAGTTATTTCGGTTAGAAAGTCCTCTCTTTCTACCGACCCAGTCGCTTCCGAGGGCCACCGCCAATCTACGAAAGCTGGTCTTCGTGCAGTTTGGGGAGTGAGCCCTGGGTCCTGGGGCAGAGCGAAGGCTGTACCTGTGCATCCCAGTGAAGGCTTAATAACCCATATTAAAAGCCCATGTACCGTATGTGTATTATATATATAATTATATATATATACGTATATATTACCTATAATTAATATATATATATATACATACATATTTTTAGTCACATTTAGTTGTATGTACATGATATATATATATATATAACATACATATAGTTAATATAAGACTGCATCAGATCGGAATTACATATTTAATGGTGTTTATACATATATATATATATATGTATATATACACAGAGAGTATGTGTATATAAGTGTATATATTTATATATGTACATGCACAGTAGATAGTAGATGATACATACAGATACACACAGACATCCACAGGCACAATGTGTAAATATGTATGGACATACACAGATTGTATAAGATTGTATAGATCATATGTATGACATTGGACAGATAGGCACAGATTAGTAAGATATCTTTGGATATGTTTCTACTTTTACCGGCCCCAATCAGCTGGATGAGTCCGGATCCGAATCTACATATCCTTGACATCAGGATACATGGTTACACTGCATGGGGTTGGTGTAGATTCATGACCATATAATCTCTTCCAAACTAACATAGTTGTGGAAAACCCAGCATTTGTACAAAATTGGTCTTCCACACCTATGTTAGTTTCCCCCTTGGGTCTCTATAGTATATAGTTCAATGATGTTGAATGGCTGAACAAAAAACTAACAACGAGCTAAACACTGACTCTCCCGGAGGGGTCATCCATGACGGCCATGTCTCACCATGGTCACCACTTGCTGTGCATACCCCAGTCAGTATAGCACCATTGCATATAGCCATGTTAAAACTGACATGTTTCTTGTTTATACTGTGTGTGTGCATATATATATATAATTATATTTATATATTATATACACACCATTCTAATGTATGAACAATCACTGTGTTTGTTGGTTCAATCCATTTTCGATAGAAACAACTAATAGTTAGATCATGTTTAGATCCAGTTTCATAAAAACAGATTCATAAAACTAGTGTAAACTAGCATAACTATGGAAAAAACACAATTTTTAGTGGGTATACAACTACAACTGGGCCATTTTCAAAGGGTAGATCCGTTCATTTTCCCTGAAAACAGCCATGTTCAGTGCATCGGCAGGTCCTTCTTCGACTGGACAGACACGAGTGCACGCAGCGTGGAGATGCACTCGGTGACCTTGGGCCTGCTGAGGCGACTGAGAAAATGTGGGGGTTTCCTGTGATAAAAATGGGAGAACTGGTTTTATAAAGATCTGAACATAGCGTTTATTCACCAGAATGTTGGGATTTTAGTTGTTGAATTAGAAGTTATACTTGAAGTTGGTAAATTTATAGTAGTTATAGGTGTTGTAGTTGATGTCTTATCCACTAAAATGGGAAATTTATAGTTAATTTGGAGTTAGCTAAGCTAGCGCAAAGTAGCATCTTGGGATATTTGGGCCTGTAATGAAGCTGGTGACCATCCGTAGATGATTTACCTATTAAAGGTTGTGCTTTTCCGATCGTGATTTTTTGTTTTCTGAATGAAAATCCCAATAGCTTAGCAAAGTTTGTTTTAGAATTTCACTAGCTGTTGGGTGTGTGATACATCGAACTAGTTTCCAGGGGGTCAAAAAAAAGCGCAAAGGAGCCAGGCAGTGAAACCCGCCAGCGATGATAAAATAGCCATGGGGATATGCAGCCATCCATGGGGATTAACCACTTTAGTATAACATATCATATATTTATCATAGTGATTAACCAAACTCACAATGATAGTGTGCAAACCTCAAGATCATGGACATGTTGTGAGATTGTGAGATTATTGAGGATCATTATGATAAGATCCATGTGATTACCAGTCATATTGGATAAAGTTAACAAGCATCACATGTGACAAAAGTAAACAACGCCAATTCCTGCATGATATATTTGTTTTGTTTGGATTCACTATATATATGTATGTATATATATATATATTTGATTCACTATATATTTGGATTCACTATATTTGGATTCCACTATATCATTGTATGTTAGACAGCCAATAAACACAACGGATTTTCATCCCATGTTTAGCAACATCTTGGTTTGTAATTTATAATTAATCAAAACCAAAAATCACAGCCAGCTGATAAAGTTAAAGGGGTACTAGCAAAAGTGGTTGCTGGTTTGGAACATGGCTTTTATTTTCCATATATTGGGAATGTCATCATCCCGACTGACTTTCACTCCATCATTTTTCAGAGGGGTAGGCTCAACCACCAACCAGACAGCAAATCTCTGGCCCATCCAGGGGGGTTGTTGATCCGATCGCTTGATCGGTCTATCACCCTCAAATACCCCGCAAATTTTAGGATCAAAGCACCATGGTTATGGAGTAAAAACACCCTTCGAACTATGAATACATACCTTCAACTTATTGATCGGGTATATTGGTGAGCAACTTTTGCAGAGTTCGGAACCACAGGTCAGCCCGAATCGAAGCGCCGTTTTTGACCATAGGTTTCGTGGGAGGCGTGTCGGATCGGGAAAGTGATGGTTAGCTGCGGCTTAGCTGCGTTTGAACTTGAGAAATCACAAAACATCCAAACTTGATAGTTTAAAGCATGCAGGGTACAAGAACTCGAGAGATATTGATACCATATATATATATATATATATATGAAATTCAAGAATGAAGATCCGGTTGGGGATGGTGTATGTGCATATCATCCATTTCTGGTGAGTCATCAGGGATGGTTGTTCGTTTTCGGGTTGCCACATTAAAAGCGATAGACTTGAGCAACTGACCCCCAGCCAAGAAAAATGACGCTGAATTCCAAAGAGTTGCTTAGGATCAGGATCACCATGATTCTTCCTCTATTTTCGGAAAAAAATTGTTGCTAAGCGCTTCCCAGATTGTCTCAAGCGTTGTTTTCCGGAGCTTCTAAGACCTGCGTGGTTAATAACCCTGGTTAGTACAGCAAGTAAATCTCACCAATTTGTATGTTTTCACTTATATCATCACTCTGACTGGTTCAGAATTGGTTTTTATAGTTCCTAGCTAGTTTCCACCCTGCAGCCCAAATTCTTCGTTTCGACCCATTTAGAGATCTTCATCTCCGAAAAAAAAACGCCAAATGCTCGCAGATTTTTCTAGAAAAAAATGCGCCCAAAAATTGGACAGTGGCCCAACTTTCAAGGATTTCAACCAATCACCATGTAATTTTTGTCCCCGAGCCCTGAACCGCCCTGTTTTCTCGCCAGGTGATCTGGCCTCATGGGTTCAGGACCCTCAGCCATTGATCGAGAGCATCTTCGACACCATCGAGTCGGTGCTCGCCTCAAGACGCGAAACGGTGGATTCAAACAGCAGAAATGGGATGTTCACAGCAGAAATGATATATATATATTATATTATATAATTATATATATATATATATGGAATGTATATGGATGTATATGGATGTAAATGGATGTATGGATGTATGGATATGGGTCAAAACATGTCAAAACCCTGGTGAACAGCATTCAATAGCTGCCAATTCATGGATGTTCATCCCGCTATAAATGGTATTTATAGGTATTGATTCATAGCCACATGATCCAATAAATACAGGAACAGCTATGAACAATGGATGAACATGTTGGCCATGTAGCTTGACCATGCTTAAGCATAGGGATGTCGCTATGTCGGTGGACTCAGCAGCACACGATGAGATGTAGTGTTGATGTAGACTGTAGACATAATGTGAGATATAACCAATAACCAATGTTGATAGAATGGGTATGTATATTTTTATATGTATAATATATATATATATATGTTTATTTAATGGGTATATACAACCATAAGAATATCATGGGGATAGAAGCTACCACAATAGCGATATACGTTTGTTATATTGTGATATCATGTCGATATAATGACGATTGAATGGCGATACAACACTAAGGATATGAAAAAAAATATGTTGGTTCACAAATGGGGTATACACCCTGCCCCAAACTTATCCAACATATCTATTCAAGAATGAGGAAGCTGATAGTTCAAACCATGATAACCATGCTAAATGGAAAACTATTGGGGTCTGGTGGATAAACAAACTTACTGGTGCTAAACGCAGGGGAGGGAATGATCCATAATCACTAGTAATAATCATCCCAGCAACCCCCAGCAACCCATCCATTCCCTACGTTTAGCACCAGTAAGCAAAGCATTACCTAACTTTGGGGCATGCCCCATTTTCAGGCACAAGGTTCAAATCATTGGGAATTGGACCCCTGATGGTACCATGTATATCTCCGGAAGACACACATTGGATCCCCGTTCGATCTCCATATTTTCTTGGGTACTACATAATATATATATATATATATGTATTTATAATAGACACACATATAATATATATATATATAACGAAGTTTATCTATACTTTTTGCTGGTTAAATTCAGCATGTTTTTGCGCCAACCCCTAGTATCACCCTGGCAAGTGGCAACTGAACCCCACCCACGCGATTTTGCCAGGACGAATGCGAGGTGATCTACAAGAATGGTGAGGGATTCGCTCCTTCCATGGTGCGGGAAACCCAATGGACGCCCTCTTGGCTTATCCATTTAGATTGTGACATTATCCAATTATGATACGGGTGGTGTATAGTCAACCTAAAATACATGACCAATAATAAGACCAATAATGACCATAATTCAGAATTGTGATTAGAGTGATTTGCTGAAGCCTGTCAGAAGCCATCTCAACAGCTGAAGCCAGAAATGGGTTGGACCCAAGTGGTTGGACACGATTCGTTTGATGTTTCAGTGGTAGTACACTTCCACATCCTGAATTTGTTAAACAATGGCAATACGATGGAATACGAATGCCATTTTAAAGGTAAGAAAACATGGCTGTTTGATGTTCATGGTCGTTATAACCATGAAAGATGACAAAAAAAACCAGAGGAGTTGGGGGTATCCAGTGCCACCATATTGCACGTTCTCCAAACATGTGGGTATGGGTCAGATTTTCTGGGCCAAAAAAGACGATGTCAAAACCCGAAAAGGGCAAAGTGGGTGCGATCTCCTTTCAACAGAAGATCTGAATTTCACAGTACATAACATCGAATAACCCCGGAGAACCCCATCCACAATTGTCATGTTGGGAGATACCCCCTGGTAAACAGTTTGCCATGGAATATCGGCCATTTATAATTGATTTACCTATGATTTACCTACGAGAGATGGTGATGTTCCAACTTTTTTTTGTACAGGATGGGCCCCCCCAGTTATGTGAACGTTGGTTTATAAACCATTATAATCCCCATGAAAACTAGTTCGTTATATCTACCATAATGGGATTACTATGAAATATCTATGGTAGTGATATTTATGGTAGTCGTGAAAATTCTATGTAAATGGGGATATAAACCATTTTTCCATATAAACCATGAATTAATCCCCATAAACCCATCATAAACCATAGAATTCAGCATTTTTTTTCAACTGAACGCTATCTCTGCCATGGACGTTCCATGGATCCCCATGGGTCATCCCAGGTGCACAAGCCCTTGGAGGACACCGTGCAAGCCGTGAAACCGGGCAAGACGCAGGGGCACTATTTAAGGCGCGGGAAGGAAAGTGCGGGTGTATGATATAATAATATATTATATAATATCTGTGTTTATTATTTTTTATTATTATCTAGTATTATTATATGTATATGCATTATATTATATATATGATGTGTGTATTATATATACACATGTTTTTTTACACCTGGTAGCTGGGTCAACCTTGCTTAGATACGAACTAGTACTTCAATATTTTGCTATCAATGGTAAGATGTCCTAACTAGCTAAAACTTAGATTGTTTGCCAGATATCTAAGATTCACCATGGTAGATGGGTTATTATATATGGTAGATGGGTTGTATATATATATATATTTGTATATGGTTAAATATTGTAAAGCATACGAGGCCCGGGTTGCATTGATGGTACTATTTCTAGTTATTCTATAAATGGTAGGCTTTGAATATATATATATATATATACATACACATACATATGGTTGCAGGCAGGACAAAATATTTACATACGTACATACATATATCAGACAAACATGGGAAGTGTGAGTTGTGTGGGATAAGGTACTGAGTTGAATTAATGGTGGGTTACATGCGGTTATCTATGTATGGACCTTGATGGGTCATAATTTTGCCGGAATGTCTAACATTGAATTAAGATCGGGTATACCACCAGTTGTTTGGATCTAAGATATCATTTATAAGTTGGTAATTACCCTAGGTGTATGAACCTCAAGCCGTGGGGATGTACATTCAAGTAAACCGTGCAATACTGTGAATATACAGATTATATATGCATAGTACACAAACATATATATATATGTATGTATGTATGTATGTATGTATGTATGTATGTATGTATGTGTGTATGTCTGTATGTATGTATGTATGTATGTATGTATGTATGTATGTATGCAATGCAATGCAATGCAATGCAATGTAATGTAATGTAATGCAATGTAATGTAATGTAATTTAATGTAATGTAATGTAATGTAACCTTCTGCCTCCAGAAAACTTTGACTCGAATCTTGACAAGCTTGACCAAGTGAGAACCAAGTGAGATTGCAAAAAAATACATTATAACTAATGAACCAGGAGATAACTTGTTGATGAGACTTTGGAGTAGCTGCTCAAACTGGCTACAAACCCCTAATGTTTGCTTGCACTACTTGGGCTTAGCCCATTTAGCAGGTTTGTAAAAAACAACTATTTACAAGTGGGCCAACCCTATTTACCCAACTTAAAGCGAGCTAAAATCCCTTGATCATTCATTGGATGCACCACCGAGTATGGGGTGATTGGGGTGAACCTCCAAGCCTCCAAGCAGACATATGGAAAGCGGTTCGCAATAGGTCAATATGTGGGAATTCGCTTGCTGAATGACAGGCTCTCCGTTGTCCTTTTTCCAAATCGGAGGGAGCGGTTCGGAGCTGTACGTTTTCATAGTCCCTCTTTCAAAGTTGTCCTTTTTCCCTCTTTTCATAGTCCCTCTTTTCATAGTCCCTCTTTTTCATAGTCCCTCCTTTTTCATAGTCCCTCTTAAATTGGCGTATACTCTCTGGCAATCTAATACACCTACCCTCTGGTAAACAAACATAGCTATTGAAAATGGCCATTTATAGTGAGTTTTCGAAATTAAACATGGGGATTTTCCATAGTTATGCAACAGTTTACCAGAGGGTATATACGGACATGGACAATGGAAGCCATGGTCCTATGAAGGTGATTCTCCATATGCCTGTGACATGAAACCAGAGGCTAGTTGTGCTGGGTTATACATATATATATATATATCCCATTATTTCATTCCCATTAAAACCAATTTTTCATATATATATATATATATCATTATATATCTATACACAAGATTATATCCCATTATTAGATCCTAATTCAATCCCCATGATAAATCCTATTGTACACATATCACCCTAATTCTTGAAAATCCTAATCATCATTTTTTCTCATATGCATGAAATCCCCATGATAAATCCTCATTGTACATCTGTTTACAAAAAAAATCACCAGGTGAGCGAAGGCCAGTGTCGATGTCGTGACGCCCGTCCAGGCCTTGGGATAATGGAAAAAATCCCCAAGATCTTTTATGGCTACCGATGATCTTTGATGTATGTTTAAATAGTACACTGATTGGTGGTTTGGAACATGATTTTTATGACTTTCCATTCAGTTGGGAATGTCATCATCCCAACTGACGAATTCATATTTTTCAGAGGGGTTGAAACCACCAACCAGTACATATTGAGATAGAATAAGTCTCAGAATTTAATGATGTAAAATATTCCCGGAACTTATGTTTGTATGTTGCGTGCGTTTCTGCAAGGTGATAAGCCCAATATTGAAGGAATAAAAACACGGTTTAAGGTGTTTACCTCAAAGTGCAGTACTCCACATTTATACCACATTGCCTTGGTGTTGACCTACCCAGTATTGTTGCATGCAAGAACATTTAAACATGACGATTTCATTGAAGCAAATCAAACAACATCGATAGGCTTTAAAACAAACAGAGAAAATCACAATGTTTTTTGACGGCCTTAAATTCTGAGACATTCGGGCCCAAACCACCCAAACCCACCACAACTGGTTTGTGATATATTCATCTAGAGATCTAATGTCGATGTGTTGATTGTTTGTTCTTTTTGGTTCTTTGGGCCGATTCACTTTTGCATGTGTGCACCACTCCGGGATCGCCTGCAGTACAAGACGAACATGGAAGAGCTGTCAGGAGTTGAGTGGAGAATTTGCTTCCAATTGCCTAATACTTTTGGGTTTCAGCTCCACTTCACAAAGTGGGTATATTGATATTTTGTACGGGTTATATTATCTGACAAGTGTGAGGGTTGTAACTAAAAGAAACCTCGCTGTGTCCAGGACCGCATGATACCGCATGAGTGCAAGACATTCTTTGGATTTAGAACCCCAAAGTTCAGAAGAGATCTATAAGGTGAATCCTAATCGAAGGGTCTGGTGTCATCTTTGTCATCTTTGAATCTGACCTTGATATATCTTATATATCTTCATAGCTAGGATCAGTGCCGATCAGTACCTCAACCTTCTGTAAACATGCAGGCCTTCGCAGGCCTTCCAGGAGATCGGCTGCCTTGGCCACGGTGGGCCACAGATGATGTGCGTCCGGGAAGGTCATGGAGAAGCTGATCCATAGTTGGCCTCAACTTGACATTCTTGCGCTCATTTGGAAGCCACAGAGTGTTGCGGCGGCTGAAAGATTGTGATGCGATTTGAGCAAAGGCCTGGACTACGAAGTTTCATCTTCAAATTCTTTGGAACTTAGCCACAGATCATGAACGTACCCATTAAGAACTCTAGCTGCACCCCCAACCACAGATGGACGGTTCATTTGCAGTACTACAGTGACTATCCCTGGCAGTTCACAGCTTAGATGTCCTTTTCGCAGCGGTTGGTACAGACGGGTCAAAATTAATGATAAATGGTGCGTCAAACTTTAAAGAGAGACCCCGTGGTGAATGGAATAGCCCTTTAAAAAAATCTGACTGCGTGATGATTTCAATAGATATGCTCTTGTCTCAGTACTTGATTGGTACCAGACCGGCTCCTCCATTTTGTGGGTGAAGGGACATCAGTTTACATCGCATGAACCGATCGGTCAGGCTTCTTCCATGTTGCTGGTCGTGCTTTATGGATGGCTTGCGACAGCATCAACAAAAAAGGTGCGTTTCATGTGTTTTCCTGGTTGTGATCATCTGTTTTAAAAAAAAACGGGACATCTATTTTTCCCGGAGTTATCCTGGTCCATGTTTGTTTGGCCCGGTCAGTCAAAATGTGACCATGTGCTTCATTCCTCTTGCATATGTTTATTGTTTTCAGATGTTTTCACGAAAGCTAGCGTCAGCTAGCTGGAGTCTTCTTGCTTTAGCAAGTATTGGGGGGGCTGCTCAAGGACATCACGTGATTTTTCACGCGAAAGGGGGGGACCCCCCCCCTCACCCACCACCACCACCATCACCACCATCACCACCATCATCATCATCATCGTCATCATCATCGTCATCATCATCGTCATCGTCCTCTCCATCGTCCTCTCCATCGTCCTCTCCATCGTCCTCGTCCTCGTCATCATCATCATCATCATCATCATCATCCTCGTCGTCGTCGTCGTCGTCGTCGTCGTCGTCGTCCTCGTCATCGTCCTCGTCATTGTCATCGTCATCGTCATCGTCATCGTCATCATCATCATCATCATCATCATCCTCGTCATCATCATCATCATCATCATCATTCATCATTCATCATTCATCATTCATCATTCATCATTCATCATTCATCATTCATCATTCATCATTCATCATTCATCATTCATCATTCATCATTCATCATTCATCATTCATCATCATCATCATCATCATCATCGTTATTCAATTACATTTTATCATTATTGGCAATTATTGTCATTATCACGAAAGCTAGTGTCAGCTCGCTAGAGTCTTCTTGCTTTAGCACGTATTCCGGGGCTCCCCAAGGACATCACGTGATTTTTCCCGCGAAAGGGCCCCCCCCTGCCCCCTCCCCCATATATCATATATATCATTGTTATATATCATATATCAATATATCATTGTTGCATCCTCGTTGGGACGAACAATGCCGCGACACGATGATGACAGTCCCTCCGCAACTCACCTCTTCCCTTCCTTCTTTCTCCTACCCCGCTAGCTTTCGTCATCCACCCCCGGCCTCAAGTTGTCATTGTCAATAACTCTAGGTTAGTCTATTACACTTGGATTTGGTAGAAAACTTGGATGATCTGTGAATTTCGTAGATGGAAGTGGCTACTATTTGATTGTGATATCACAGATGTTCAGGATTGATTACTTTGTACTTCCCCACCTGCCAGGTGAGGGTCTCTAGATTTTCACAAAGGTGTGCTTGACTTCTTCACTTCTTTACTTCTTCTTTCTCTTCCTTCCTCCTCATCTCCTCTTCTCTTTCTTCTTCCTTTATTCCTTCACTCCTGCCAGTCGCCAAGCAGATTGCAAGCTCCGGATGCAGCTGGGCACACCTGATTCCGAACCCTATCCCGAGCTCTGGTGGCAGCTGGGCACGCATGGGCCCAAACATATGCCAGATAGAATGTCAGAATAGATGCCAGATAGAAAGCCAGAATATCGGCCCGAGAAAGTGTCAGATAGACTGTCTGACTGTCATAATATATGTCAGATACTAGTAGAATGTCAGTTGGTGGGTGTCACTCCAAGAAAGTAGTTGTGTCAGATGTTGGTTCGGTGCACGGTCGGTTGACGGGTTTGAAATCCTGTAGTGGTTCGCTGGACGCAGAGGAACGTAATCATTCTACTGCTATGTGTAGCATTAACAAGGTGATGCCCCCAAAGATATACTGGTTGGTGGTTTGGAACATGTTTATTTTCCATAATATATGGGATAATCCTTCCCATTGACTTTCATTTTTTCAAGATGGTTATTGCACCACCAACCATATATATATAATCCACCAGATAATCCACCAGATAAACCATCATTAACCATCATTACTGTAACCATCATTAACCATTGTTAAACCATCATTTTCCCATCGTAAGTTAGCCCAAGTTAGTTCACCAAGCTGTGCGTCGTAACTTGCTTGCGATTTCGGAACAATGGGGGCCTCACCTTGTAATTGGGTTGATAGTTATCCCCATTCTATCCCCACTGAATCCCCATATATATATGATTATTATATATATTATACCCTATTATACCAGCATTTTCTGCGTGTTAAATCACCATTGTTGGAAAAAAACATGTTTTGACTCATGGATTATCCCTTCCTTCGGTGAACAGGTCACAACTGAGATAGTGGTAGTGATATCCACAAAAAGATAGAAAACCAATGTCTCAATATCTAAGTCTATACTGACTTTTATATTTATCGAAAGTAAATGATAAATGATGGTTTTATATGGTTTTATGTTTTGGGGGGATACTGTATAGACATATATATATATATTACTATTTTACACTGTTTAGACATGTACTGTACATGCTGGAGGTCCCAGAAACAGTTCCCCCATGACATGTCCAGGTGTGCAGTCGTATCCGGATGACCTGAGGATCCCTTATGGTGATTGCCAGATCTTGGATGAAATACAGAAATAAATAAACTATGTGTGCTTTACTACAGTACATGTATATATATATATATATAGATAGGTAAATTTCTTTAATATATGTATAGAAATATCTATGTATACATATAATATACATATATATATATATACATATATGTACATCATGTGTATATACATATATATGTACAGTATCTTTGATAAAAAAAGACATGTTTTTTTTTTCCGCTGATTCTTGGCTCAGTAGCTAGATAGGAAGGCAGGCCCTGCGAGGCCAACCTGATCTCCTGACAACCTGGGGACACCGTGAAAAAACGTTGGATTTCACATGATTTCACAATGACAAATGATGCAACATGTAGATTACCCTCTGGTTATGTCAACAGTTAGCTATTGAAAATGGCCATAGAAATAGTGGATTTTCCCATAAAAAATGGTGATTTTCCATAGTTATGTTAGTTTACCAGAGGGTACACCATGGATTACACCAAGAACACATGGAAATTGACTCATATAGCTGATATTCCATGATATTCCATGAACATATCCGTTAACCAATGTAAGTTTCTAAGACATGTTTAACTGATATTTTTTCGAAGTGTCGTATTAGATCTCGTATAAACTGTCGCTTTGGGATTCAACTGTTGAGGGTCATCCCGGTCACCCAAAATGCCTACCTGGCAAGATGGGAAAGCTCAACCATAAATGGAGCTTTGTAACTGGGAAATCCATCAAACTCAATAGTGGGTCGCAACACTTTGACTTTTGGGTACTGAAAATAAAAAGCAACACAAATTCTCCCACTGCATTTTTGTGTGAAACTAGGCTACCCTTAAATTTGAGAGTTGATCGGAGTTGACCTCATAGGGCCCCATATATCCCACGTTATGGAGATGATCACCATATTTTTCCACTAAGAACCATCAATAACCATTAAGAACAACTAATACCACCAAAAAACATTAACAACACTTATACTTAAACCATTATTAATTATGGTATTATGATGTATTATGAAACATCAACATTTATTTAACCATTAATAACCATTACTAACCTCTACCAACCAGTTTTATCCCTGATTAACGATTATGGATCAGATTAAGCACTATTGACCATTACTAACCATTACTAACAATAGTTGTATTAACCACTACGAACCATAGTATTATAACCAACTGAAATCATGATTTTCCACATCTATGTTAGTTTGCCCCAGGGAAACCATTATCAACCATAGTATGGTCAACCATTGACATTTACTATATAACCATCAATAACCAGTACAAACCTCTATTAGCCATTATTAACCACATATATCCGATATCCATTATTAACCATGATATTGTGATCCATCACTGTCCATTACTAAGCAAAAGATAAATACCATTGATTACCTATTGAAATGGCAATGTTCCAAATTTATCTTGGTTTGCCCCAGGGTAAACACCATAATAAGTATTGTGAACCCTTGACACTGATTAACGAATAATAACCATTAAGAACCATTAAGAACGAGCAACTAATAATCATCAATAACTATTGATAACCATTAAAACAACTAACAACCATTAACAACCCGTATGAACTATTACCCTCTGGTTATTTAAGATAGCCATGGTATAGATGGTCCATAGAAATAGATGATTTTCCCAGCTATAAACCTCCATTTATGCTTGGGATGTTCCATGGCTATGTTAGTCATAACCAAATGGTAACCAACAGTAACCCTTGTATATTCGACCGACCATCCCTTCCGCGCAGCATGGAGGCACAGTTGGCCATGGACTCGCTCCTGGCTGCAGGGCCATTGCAGGAGGCGCTGGCACGGCGTGGCCGGCGATCCAAAAGATGGCGGTTTTTCCATAGGGGATTCATAGTAGTTATTAGTAGTTCTTAGGGGTTTTACTGGTTATTGTGGTTAAATGATGTGGTTAATCTTATTTTCTGACAAACATCAACATTGTTAATTATGGTATTAGGGAATTCCAAAAGATATGTTGATAGTGGTTAATAGTGATTATTAGTGGTTATTTGTGGTCAATGAACCAAATAACAGTTGGAACATTGACATGTGGGTAAGACAATGTCATGAACCACCAAACAATGGGAATGGTTTATACCACCTATCTATGGTGACATATGAGGGTTTCCTAAAATGGGGTACCCCAAAAATGGTTTGTTAGTTGTTAATAATGGACAATCCCATTAAAATGGATGATATAGGGGTACCCCTATGTTAGGAATCCTCCATATGATTATAATGAATATGGTTACAATATGATATTATATTGTTATAAAAGTGTCCAATGAACAATTGGGATTTAAGATGCTTATATAACCAATGACACATGGATATTTATCCTTGAACCATCAACAGGGTAATATGTGGTTATAATATGGTTCTAATCTGGTGAACATCTGGATATGATATTGTACAGCAAACCATAGTTCAATGTTCAAAACACCGTTCTACTAGGGGGTAAAACCGAGACATCAACAGTGACATAATGAGGATATGATGGGAATATACTCATAGACAAAATACCCGCCTTGAGGAAATGGCCCTGAGGAAATGCAAAAATTTGAGTATTTTTTATTTTTTACCTCAAAACCAGTCAAAAGGCTTCAAACATGCTCATGCAGCACTCAAGCACCACTTAAACCAAACCAAAATTGACATATTTTTCTCGGCCATTTTTTGAGATAAATTGAGGGACCATTTTCGGATGTTGAAATCTCAAAATATTTCGCACGCTCTCTGTGCGCACTTTAGCTGGCTCAGAACAGCTCGCTGGGATGAAAAAGTGGCTAATGGAGATGTCCAAAACTTGATGCCAAGACATTACCAAATAGCCAACAACCAAAAAGAAAAAAAACTCAAAATGTTTCAAAAAAAACAAACTGTCTCAATTGCAAATTTTAGTTGCTAATTGACCAGTTGCTCAAATGGCCTCAATTGCAACCAAATGGAACCAAACTAATTCAATGGCTTTTTCTCCGGTCCAAGGATTTGTTCACTCAGAGCTGCTCAACATGTACTCAAATGCTCTCACATAATGGGGGACTAGTGTCACTTAGAAGCTCTCACTCTGACTCAATCTCACTCAAATGCTCTCACAGAATGGGCGCGATTGAAGCAAAGGGGCCCCGGTATTCATCATGTCCTGATTTTCATTCAGCAGCGTAGTGTGCATTAGGAAACCAGAGTTGAAGCGAACTCATTCTACTGCCGCAGCTGTATATCAACAAAATAAACACAGTTTTTGTTGGGGGTGGGGTTTCTCAAATCACTTCAATTTCTTTCGAAGTGTTGTTTCATTGTTTTTTTTGAGCAACATAAATTACCTCAACTTCTTTCGAAGTCACTCGATTTTACTCATTTACGTTTTTAGCAGCACAGAATGCAATAATCTCAAAGAGGCTCAATTGAAGCTCTAACCGTCTCAGGGGGAACTCAAATGGACTCAAATAGATTTTTCAACCACTAACATTATGATAACACTGTTTACCCCGAAAATGTACTCATATTGACTCTCAGGCAATTTATTTAATATCAAATTCCAAGATTTTGAACTCGACGTTTCCTAGCGGCCATTTGGTCCCCTAGGCTCAATGTGCGAATGCACCGCTTGGTTTTCGATCAACCATCTTCACCAGTGATTCAAGCAGGTCAATTAGAACCAGATGTCTATGCTGCCAGATGTTTGGTTGATCCTTTGTTTGGTCTGCCCCCCAATGCCCGGGTAGTGAGTCCAGGGGCCGCACTGAGAAAGTTGGCGCCAGAGCAGTCGAGATACTCAGCCCTGGACCTTGCCTGTTACCTGAATCGAGGATGGCCTGCCAATGGCCGGTATGATTACAATGTTGATTTGCCGCAAACATTGCTGCCAGTCCAGCTTGGCGATGCATCATATGCAGATTCCGTCTGTCAATGGCTGTCTAGCACTTTACAATGCCCAGTGGATGCACATTTCCTAGTGACAGGATCGACAAAAGCCACTCACCGAAGCATCGGGGCCGAATTAGGATCGTTAAGGAAGTTAACGATAATTGCCGACACAAGCACCCTTGCACTGGTGGAGCTGCCGAAAACGACGCCAGAAACAGTATCATTTGCTTTTGCGTCAACCTCAGTGCTCCAGGCAACGGGACTCCCATCGACTCATCGAGCTGCTGCAAGTGAGCATCCGTATGTAATCGAATCTCCTTCGCCTCAGGACTCTGATGACTTGTCGACTGATGTCGAAGCTATGATGCAAAATGCAGCGCATGCCAGTATGCCTTCATATGGTCAGATGCCCTCGATCCACTGGCAGCCCGCCAGTGACATCCTCAATGCAGCTGAGTGCGAAGCGGCTTTGGACGCTCACACGAACACTGATTGCCGTACAGCCACAAATGCACTCTTACAGATAGACGAGATGCAGGGGGATCAAATTCACAAGGCCATCTCTGATTATCCGTGGATGATGAAGCTCATACAGCGAGCCCCACAATCAACACGCTCAAAACTCATGCAGTTGTTCAGCAACTGGGTGCCACTGCTCAAATCTGGCTACGCCATACAGTTGGCAGGAACGTCCAGGATCTTGTTCAAGAAATCGATGTCTGTAGTGCTGTATCCGGAAACATGGAACGGCCAATTCATTCCTTATCGGCTGGAGTTCAATCATTTGGCGTTCCTTTGCGATTTCCGGTATACAAGACGTTGGACCTCACGCCTGGATCCACTGTGTTGTTTCGACGCCATATGCCCATTGAGCCAGTGATTGATTCGGTTCCGCCTGGGGCTCAAGAAGTCCGCAACTTGGAGCAACTATGGGGCACCGACGGACTATGTCTGCAAAGCCGATCCAACTCCGCACCAATAGGCAGACCTTGGCACCTTCAGGGCATGGGATCTTTAAAAGAACAATGCGCCAGATTGGCTAAGGTGCGCCACAACGATGCTTGTCCAGCATCGACATATGCAGGACATAAGGCTTTGGCATGCTCTTTGTGCCTAGTGGCAGATGCACTTGCCGCATACAATTCATGCAACGTCCTGCTTCTCAGTGCTTCTGATGGGCATTTTGCCGACACAACGGTTCACTGCACGGAGCCTTCCGCTGACTTGAGAGCCTTCATCGTTACCAGTGTTTTTTTTTCCGTCCTTCCAAGAAGTACGTTTTTTTTTTTCCTAGGGTCATTTGTCTATGAAGAACTGTAACTCTAATATACTCTACTGGCTGGTGGTGTGGAACATGTTTTATTTTTCCCATTCAGTTGGGAACAATAATCCCAACTGACGAACTTCATCATTTTTCAGAGGGGTAGGTATACCACCAACCAGTATATGTGGTAACCATCATCATCACATTGGTACTATTACCAATCATTATAGTTACGTACCATGACAATATGGTAATTATATATCCCAATAATTATACAATGGAAATGATTCTGGGGTATTCAAGCCATGATTCAACCAGCAAGCAGTGATTAGTCTGCCAACTTCTTGTGATTTAAAGCTCGGAGATTCACCGGGGAAATCTCGCAAACTGGATACCGGGACTTGAGGTTGAGCCAACTTGCCATCGAAATTTACGAGAGCACGTTGCAAAAGCATAGGGTGTTCACTGATGTTCATGGATTTTTCGAGATTTTTCACATGCGTTTCCCCATGAGAGGGAGTTTGTGATGTTTTTTTCATAGAATTTCCTGGGTGCAAATGAACATGTTCTTCTAAATTGTGGTAGGGTTAATATGTAAGACTTAGGAGACCACATATTGATCATCCATAGGAGTACCCAATTTTGCAAAAAAGTCTCCTAAATAGTAGGCGGATACCTGGAACAGAAACGAAAGATTGGAGCTCTACGGTGAAATAGCTACAAGATGAGGAGACCCCCGAACGATAGCAATGTTGACTTGTCAACTGTGCATCGTGGGATTAGCAGTGTGCCCGTTTTGTTGGGTTGAAATCGTTCCCTTCTTTTACCACCCACCTTGTATATCGTTTATTGTAATACCACGCTAAGATTATATGAATATTAATGTTATAATATTATATATATATATTATGTATATACATAAATTCAAATCCGACCATCAATGTGTCATGGTCGAAACCTTGGGTGAATCTCCCCGTTCGGGGGATGGCCGACCTTGGCAAATCCTACAAGATTACATGAATGATACAGATAGATGCTGAAAAAATATGACTATAAAGGTGCTCTATATATATATATTATGTATATATATATGTGTATATATATATATGGATATGTATATATATATATGTTATATATGTATATATATGCATATATATATATATGTATTTAGCCTCTGGTAAACTAAGATAGCGAACTGGAAAATCAGAAGTGATATCTATGTGTAACAGGTAAATTACTGTACTGTAAATCATTCTATTTCTATGGTCACTTTCCAGCGCTATGTTTACTGGAGTAGTAATACAAAACTGCCAGGTGGACAGCCAAGACCGGTGCGATTGCAGCGTCAGCCCGCTGCGAAGGTGGGGAACGGACGGAAATGGTCTCCCCACCCAAAAGGAGGAGTTAGCCAACAAAAGGGGGGATCTCTCGTTGATTATAGTTGATTTATGTTAGCTAAGTTGGATATGTTAGCTAAGTTGGTTTATAACCAGATTGATCATGGTTTATGATATATCGAACTAGATTATGTGGTTTCAGAAAAAAAAGAAAACGTACTGTACTTCTAGTCAAAGGTCCAAAACAATTCAGATTATGAGGATTTCACATGCTTTAAGCAACGAAAATTGGGATTGAGCAAAGCGACAAATATGAATAACTGATCATATTTGGAGACAAATGGGGATTTAATGAATTACTCACAAAAAGTAAACAATGCAGATTGGAGACACCAATAATGCAACACAAATGAGGATTTAACCGAACCAACATCACACATGATTGGATTTGACCTACAAACAAGTTTGGTTTCAACGTCTCGAGCATAAAACTTATCCGTAATTGTGTTTTTTTCAATGATTGAATCATGAAAAATAGTACAGAACAACTCCAACCTTGGATAGTTAGTTTAATCCTTTAGTTGGTGTTACATGTTTTTACTACAAAAGGAAACTAACCACAACCAGCAAACAATTATTCTTTGTGGACTGCCAAAAATTGACCATGCAAAGGTTTGATAGAGCTACACAGTTTTTTTGTTCAAAACCACGTCCCAAAAAACGGCTAAGCCGCTTCAGTTTGTGTGTCAACAAAAAAAGATAGATGCTCAGGTGGTCTAGTTGTTTAACTACTTTAGGTTCTCCGAATTTCACCAATCTGCCAAATGTTAAGCCCGATGCATCCAAACAGTGTTTGCGAAGGTACTTAACTCTCATACCCCAAATACTTCCTAAGAAGGTGCTCGGATCCAGAGGAAAGATGAGATGAGGAAAAATTGGGAAGATAGCCAAATATTGGAAGCCACGATTTGAACATCTGCATGCAGAAACTGCCAGATGGTGGTGCGAAACTGACCAATTTCCATAGAAATGTTACTGCCATGTTTCATTGCCATTTCCCAAGGTAACAATATGGTGGTTACCTGAAATAGGGGTACCCCCAGAACTCATCAATTTCAATGGGATGTTCCATTATAAACCAACCATTTTTGGATACCCCCATTTCAGGAAACCCTGATAAAACTGAAGCATTTTTCGTGGTTCTTTCAGGTTCCCACTGGATATAAAACGTTGCAGGTGGCGAGAAGTCGAATTGAATTCACCGGTGAAGCCTGGTGAGTCGGGGTTCCCACTTTTTTCGCATGGTTGGCTAGGGCGAGCTGGGACTTGCATTGCCTTTATTGGAGAATTTTAATGATAAGCCATATGAATGGGGAAAGCTAGAAAAACCAACTAAGTTTGTTTGAGATGGGACATGGGTATTTTTGATGGCTTAACTGTACATGGGTTTGCCTGCATAAGGGGGAACAAACTTTCCAGTAATCAAGCCTATCATTTATGGGTTTTCCGAGATATATGGTACTATACACAGTACCCAAAAAATCATGAGAAATTGATGAAAAAAAATGATATTAGGGTAGCCTATTCTCAGACAAAGCCTTACAGTAATTAAATTGTGTTGTGTGTTTGTGGATTCTGAAAAGTTATGGGGGTATAAACCCAACCTGAATTGAAATGAATTGAACTATGTGCACCAAACATCCTGGGTTTTGGGCCAATTTTGGGAGAATGGGATTGCAGGAAGAATCCTCGTTTTGCAGGGCCAAACGCCCAATGTCCAAATATGTTTCCCGTTGCCCCCATGATTTGTGTATTTGAAGTTGTTTATTTTGGTTTCAGACTCACCTGCATATTGTAACAGAAATTAGAATGTGCGTTCTCATGATCTTCACTTGAAAGAACATTGCTGACTTCGTGGAACTGATTCGGATACATGGCTCAAAGCTAAGCTGTGAGTTTTCCCCAGTTTTCCCCCTAAAATTTGTTGCTACATCACTCCCCGAAATGTGGCCTTGAACCCAAATGGATGGCCAGAAACTCAATGACTAAGAGCCGTCAGAAGCTAAATTACCGTCGTCTTCGGGGGGGGCAGGTGAAGGTTTCACAGATTCCAACATCGGCATGTATAGTCCCTTCCCTTCATCTTGGGACCATACAGAATGGTGTGTTTCATAGTGGGATTCTTGTTATGGACCATGCTTAAACATGGGATCATGATGGATGCAGATCCCAACTGAACTAACTGAACCGAGGCGTAGCGGCGCGTCCAGTGTAATTTACCAGGACAGAAAAAAACCGGGTGCTGGAAGCGGTTGAAAGGGGTCGTTGTTTTATCACTTTGTTCTTTAAACAACACCCAAACAAGCAATTCTGAATGTATATGTGTACGATAGTGTATTTATGTGTGTATGTACATATTATATAATATATATTTGATATAATTACATATTTAACATTATAATATATTTAACATAATATACATACTGTACATACTGTAGGTACATACATACATACATACATACACACATACACACATACACACATACACACATACATACATACATACATACATACACACATACACACATACACACATACACACATACACACATACACACATACATACATACAAACATACATACATACATACATACTTACATACCTACATACCTACATACTTACATACTTACATACGTACTTACGTACTTACGTACTTACATACTTACATACATACAGACATACAGACATACAGACATACAGACATACAGACATACACACATACAGACATACAGACATATAGACATACAGACATACAGACATACAGACATACAGACATACAGACATACAGACATACAGACATACATACATACATACAACATACATACATACATACATACATCAATGCATTAATGCATTAATGCATTAATACATTAATACATTAATACATTAATACATTACATATCTATATATTTACATAAATGTATTTGTTATGTGTATATATATATATGTAATATATATATATATATGTAATATATATATATGTAATATATATATATATGTATAATATATATATGTATAATATAAATATATATGTATAATATATTTATATTGTATAATATATATATATATAAATATGTGAACCGACAAACATGAGCCGTTGCAGCTTTTGTTTAGTTTGGCAGTCCAACTGCTGAATGGTAGGTTTATTTGGTCGTTCTTTGCCATTTTTTCATTTAGGATTATAAGGTATAATATCTTCCAGTACTGGAACAAAGCCATGGAAACTGGATAAACATGGCCAATATGTAGATTAGATTATTTACATATTGAACATGGTCATGTTCCATAACAATCTTAGGTTGCGCAAGGGTATCACATGTGTACGTACACTGTATACATCTACATAATGCAGCCAGTGGAACTGGAGATTTAAACAGCCACAAGGCGGGATTTTTTTGTAACGAGAAACGTACGTTTCTTTTTTTGGTGCACTCTGCTGGTGAATGGTAGATGGATGGCCTGATGTTTCAAAAGAATGGATCAGGTTAAGTCGAAGCATAGAGAAAGTCAACAGCGTGGAAGTGACGTACGAAAGGTACTCCAGACCAAAGAAATGCATAAATACACTCCATTTGAAGGGCTACAAGTTAGGATTTCAATTCCCTAAGCAGAATACGTGGCATTCAGTTTCACATTACACTTTATGTACAGCTGAAACCCTTACTGTAAATGGCCCCCTCCCCAAAAAAGTGCTTATCACTTGTTGTCAATTGGCAAGTTTCCATCTTGACCGATTTGTTTTGCCAATAAACATATATATATATATATAGAATTATAATAACAACAACAATAATAATGATAATAATAATATACAGTATATATATATGTATATTGATACAATATTGCATCATATTGCATCATTGTGTTGAACTATCAAAAAACAACTTTCCACATCCTTTTCACATACCCCAAGGAAGCACTTCTTATCAACGTAGCGACCCCAAAAATTGACATCCGATTCAACGAGTGGCGCAACCACCGGAGGATGCGCTGTACGTCTTTGGTGGCTACGGCGGAAGCGGCGCCTGACTCAGGGCAGGGGCTGTATCTGTCCACTGGACAGTAATACAGTCTATGACAATATCGATACCATATTGTTACTGGATATTTTTTTAACCTACATATTTAGTACTTATATATATATATACACACTTAATTATATCATAATATCACAATGATCCAATATTAGATCAACTTTGGAAACGACTGTGACGTTGCCGATCCATTTCGCTCGGCTACGAGCTCGCTCGTGAAACCTGAGGTCGATTAGACGACATCTTCCGCTTTGACTTCCCGTCCAGGCAAGGGTTGGAAAGTCATGGAACTACCATCCTGGAAGTTTGTATAGACCATACTGTAAATTGTGGGGAATAGAATTTTTCGTGACCAGACCAAGTCTATTCTATTACAGTAGTGGTTATTCTCCATTTCTATTCTATTCTATGACTAAAATCATTTTAGCCTCTCTTTTGGGGTAGTTTTTGTCGACCTCAATGGCTTTTGGTCATGGGGAGATGATGAAAACCAGGGGATTTGGATGAAAAAATGCTTTTCGTTGCCCGGTTGTTTATAGGGGAAATCCAGATATAGGGAGAGACTGGTGAATTGGGAACATAATGACTCGGTATGACTCGGTGATAAATGTATATAGATATATATATATATATTATATGTATATAATTATATATGCACACACACATATATACACGTTATTAGACGTGGTTCCTTTGGTTTCAGGTGAATTCAGTTGAAGGAATAAGGAGAACAACAGCGCCAGTAGAGTACCCCGAAACTCCACAAGAGATTTCCATAGGCACTAAGAAAAATCCTGGAATCTAAATGAGCCCCATTTGAATCTATTTTGGATCCCTGCGGTACGCTACAGGCTGTAGCGCGACGTAAATCGCGATTAATTTCGTAAGAACTGTGCGAGGATTGATATGAGGAAGATGTTGTAAGGAGGCATGTTCATGATTGTTGATGTGCCAGCGAGGCTGTTGGCTTGGAAACATTAGAATGAGGCCAACGGCGAACGGGAACAGAGAAAATTGATTTTAGCCACAAAAAACAAATAATAAACACATAGTCACATAATCAAAAACAGATTCACAAAAAAAAACAGACTGACTGGAAGAATCACCAGAATTCCAACAAGCAAGAAAAAACAACTGGAATTTCTCTGTTTGTTTTCCCCACCTGCCAGGTGAGAGTCTCTAGATTTTATCAGAGTTACTTCCTCCTTCCTCCTTCCTCCTTCTCCCAACAGAGCCTATATAGTCAACATGTCTGCTGAATTTGGTTGGTGTGCTTGAGCTTGATATGTCCAGAAATGCGAGATCCAAAATCCACTGACCGATAGCCAAAACTTGACTGCTGTGTGCCTCATGTTTCAATGATAGGCGGATGCAATCAGGATTATAGCTTAAGAAAAAAATACCAACGGAAACATGTGACATCTTTATGTTGGGACTTCTGACGCCCATAGACATTCACGCATACACATTCATAGAATGGGATGGGAAATTGGGTTTCTCCCCGTAAGTGACTATTCCGTTTGTGAGTTTCTTTTTGAGCCATCTCCTTTGATGGGCCAAGTTCTCATATTGAACATGGCGTCTACCCCCCAAATACCCATATGATGTTTATGATGAGTTTGACCAGTGGATTTAGGGCCTGTCCCCTAAATTGTCAGCAAAAAACAATTCATTTCTGGTTAGATTCCCCTTCTCCTACCTTTCTGGTGCCTTGTCCAAAAGTCACATCCTACAGAAACAAAGTGGAGCTTCACAGCCTCGCAGGTGTTGGACGCGGTTAGAGGTCCAGGGTGCTGTCCGGGGCTGACAGTTTCCCGTTGGGGTTCAATGATCTGGACATTTAGTGTGGTTCCATATCTATCTTGATTTACTGGTTGTATTTAATCATAGTTTATATAAAGGACTGTGTGTATATATATTATATATATATACGTAGATAGACATATTATTAGTGTGTAGTATATAATTTGCAAGAATTTGTCACTGGTATTGGCCATTGTGAGACCCCTTTTTACTAATAAAACATTGTATGTTATGTTCAAAAACCTACTGGCCATTGCAATCTTCACCAATGCAAATGGGGTTTAAGCAAAGATGTTGGTGAGTTTCCATGTTCTCTGGGGGATATTCTTTGGTAACCTAATTAGCTTGGCACTTGAGAATGACGTTTAAAGAACTGATGTGTAAATTAGAATGTGTGGGCCATTTACTCAACATACTTGCCATATAACAAGGTTTGATTACCAGCTGCATTCTTGGATTGACTTTCTTATAAGGATATCTTCATCTAGAAGGATGTGAGTTGCTACAGAGTGGTCCCGCATTTTTTTATTGCTCTGTTCTTACCCCTTTTTGAATTGAAGAGTTGGTGGAGTTGTAAACCGACAGAAACCTCCACGCTGAGATAATCCTCAAATCACTTGGATCCCCAGGTTCCGGCTGGGCGCGAGAACAATGGTGCCGTGGTTCATGGGAATAAGATGTATTTGAATCTCGGCTGCATTTGCCGCAGCGCTGGCAACAGGTTGAAATGTGTCGACTGGATGAAGTTCATCTGAACTGCCTGGCGTTATGGCTATTGAATGCTATTTATCTATTAACTATTGACACACTATCTACTAACTATTTACTAAGCAGCCAAAAACAAAAAAGTGGTATTGCCTGAAAATGGGGATACCCCCAAATATCCAGTAATTGTCATGATTGTTTCATTCTATAATATATATATATGTAATTATGTATATGTGTATATATATATATATTAGTTTTTTTTATGTATTATTATTATTATTTTATTATTAGTAGTAGTAGTAGTATTCATTATTAGTAGTAGTAGTATTCATTATTAGTAGTAGTAGTATTCATTATTAGTAGTAGTAGTAGTATTCATTATTAGTATTATTGGCTTTTCAAGAATGATGATCGGATATTTGGTGATAGCCTTTTTTCAGGTACCTACCCATACCTTTCCAGGGTGTTGTAATGTGGCCTCGACAGTTGAGATGTTGGTCTCCGAAAGCAATGACGGGAAAGCATGTCTGCTTTGTACGTGAAAATGTTGGGGGATAAAACGCATGTTATGTTTCATCATCCTTTTTTCTATCCTTTCCCTATCCTTTGCTCTATCCTTTTTGCTATCCTTTTTCTATCCCCTTCTCTATCCTTTTTTCTATCCTTTTCTCTATATATCCTTTTCCATATTTTACAGCATAATCCGCCATTTCCAGACACACCCATTTATAGCTGAATTTTTTATTTAAATGCCAATTTCGCTCAGGGATTTTCCAGCTAGGCATGATTCTCTACCAGAAAGTCTCCATTTACCCAATAGTTGGTTAGTTATATCATGTTATATTCCATTCATATCCCATTAAAGCTCTATTTGTTGATGATTTTCCGATTAACAGTTGATGATTATTGTTAAAACCATTGTTAATCTTCCTACTCGTTGATGATTAGTCTATCTATATCCCATTAATATCCCATTCATAGGCCATTAATATCCCATGGATATCCCATTGTAACCTCCATTTCTGGTGGATCAACATGCTCAACGGCCCGGAGGTTTGGAGGCTACAGTGGCTTCACCTGGTTGAACGACTTCCATAGCTTCAACTTTGACAGCAGTACCTGGCAGGCCGTACCGTCCGAGAACTTGGAGAGAGGAGTGGCGCCATTGGGTAGAAAAACCACATATGAATCCATCTGAATCTACATGAATCTACACTTTTTGGTGGTTTGGAGCATTTGTTTCCATAATATATGGGATACTCCTTCCCATTGACTGATATTTTTCAGAGGTGTTGAAACCACCAACCAGTATAATTCACGGTATATACTGTAATGTGTATATATATATATACAGTATACATAGACTTATATACATACATTGCGTATTTCGTGGCATTTCAAGTGTACGTAAGGGTTTGTCTGAAAATGGGGTACCACTAAATTGGTTCTTAATCACTACCCCTATCCCTATTAAACGGGCCTGGGGACATCCCCTACTTCTCAGACAAACCCATTTCAATATTTATACTACATATATCTGGACCACAGGTAAGTCGTGGCAGGCTTGTCTCAGCTATAGAAAGTGTGCTGCGAGTTGGATGTGGTGCTGGGACTTGCACCCACAGCTGCCATTTTTCCGGCCAAGAATTGTAAATACTGGGCATGTCAGGTTCAAAAACGTGTACGTTACTCTCGGAAAATCCAGATTTCACCAACAAAAGATCCTGATTTGTGTTAGGAAGAAAAGCGATAATTCACCGACACATTCAAACACCAGCAGCTGATAGCAGCCGTGCATTGATTTTACCGACCAGACACGGAAAACAAAAGCAATTTTATGAACGACAAAAACGGGCATTTCACTCACCAACGATGATTTCACTGAAGAGATTCGGCGTTTAAGACCACAAAGTAAGGATTTCATCCAGCCGAACTGGTGAGTACACCTGAAACATTCTCAAGTCCTCAAGCTCATTTTAATGACCCCTCCTTTGGGTGGCTGTACAACCTTCCCTTTACAGATTTCACAGGTCATAAAACCCAAAATAGAGCGAACACTGGGTGCCAAGTTGGGACAATTTTGTCTTGTGGAAATGTGTTATACCGCAAATATTTTTTAAAACAACCGCTCATACCTTTGGTTTTAAATATGTCCAACATTAAAAACATGTGCGAATTATCCCTTTGATCAATCATGACGGCAGTGGCAGTCATGATCCACATCCCTACCGTGGGATCAAGCATGGTATACCCACAGCCGCCAGCATTTTCGCATCCCGGTTGGGATGTTCCATGGCTCAATGGTTATGATATGATCATGAAACTAGTCCTACTTATTTGAACAATATGGATCAATATCGTTATTTCATGAATATTGTTCTAAGTAATCAACCTTTGAGCACTTTATTTGTCCCGAGATTTTGATATCAACCATGTTACGTGTGATGTAATCGTTATTAATTGCTTCTTCACTATACATATTATCATTATACTTTACTCTACTATACTTATGTGCTATTGCTATCATTGAGCTATAAGATGGTTACTGTTTAAGTCTTGTAATGCTTAATAATTATAGGTGTTATATGGTCAATGATATCATCAGCACTTAATAAATTATTGATAAGTATGGTTCTGATATCATCAACAATCGTATGGTTATCAACTATTGCCCATAAGTATTATTTACATAGTTAATGGAACTATTAAATCAGTACTATTGATACTATCAATCATAGTAAATCATACTGTGGATGGTTGCGAACTCCTGCACCAGTTAAGAGGTGGTAAACATCCCATTATTTATAGGTTTCCAATCATCCTTTTGATCTTTTGGTGGTGCAGGATTGCTGAAAATTCCACAGTAGTACTTATGATTCTACTATTTTTTCATACTTCAATTGGTTGATACGTCACCATTCACCCTGGCGCCTCAGGTCGGGGCACAAGGGCAGTGTTCCCTCCACCCGCTTTGGCTACGTCTCTGCCGTGTGCCATGGAGATTTTAGAAAAAACCGATGGGGGGATCATAGAAGGTGAGGCCCTAGTGATGTTTCTTGGTTCATCAATCCATGAATACTCAATGGCCATTTCAGGAACCTAAATTGGAGGTACCTACCATATATAAGGCCTATGTAAGGCCTATGTAAGTAAGGGAATATCCCCACAATACTAGTCCGTTATGCCCCTAATCAACCCAAACGTTAAGCAATGTTAAGCAAGTTGTGTGCTTAAACTCTTAGCTGTCGAGACGGCCTCGTCTTGTAGGGTTACTGTAGCCAAGTTGGAGCTCAAAACCAAGCAGAATGGGGATATAGTAATGGTGATACCCTCTGGTAAACTAACATAGCTATGGAAAATCATCCTTTTCACCAGGTAAATCAACTACAAACGGCCATGCTCAATGGCTATGTAACAAATTACCAGAGGGTAAATCGGATCATAATGGACAATGCGGATGGTTTGGAGCGTTTTTGAATGGATATAGCATATAACAGCTGATTGGTGGTGACTGGAACCATGGAATTTGGATTGACTTTCCATTCAGTTGGGAATGTCATCATCCCAACTGACGAACTCCATCATTTTTCAGAGGGGTTAAAACCACCAACCAGAACAGTATCTAAACACAAATTACTGAATATTCGTTCTTCGGTAATTTAAGTTACATAGCGAAACTGCCATGGTCATGATGAGTAATTTCCCATGGTAAATCCTCGAACCGTTCATAGGCATGAAGTCCAAGGCGATGTTTAATAAAACCTCAGCGTAAGCAGCAAAAAAAAAAAAAATGTATGTCTATATATATATTATAATTAATATATATATATATATTATATTATATATTATATATATATATATAACCACCACTCTGATTCTTGAGCCTCTCCGAAAGTGGGTTCTACCCTCCAAAATGGCAATTTTAGTAGGGGCTGATGTTCAACCAAAGTGTTTTCAAGGGGTGCCTTGTTGGCCAAGGCGAGCAGATGGTCATTTGAACCACTAATGATGAGATGGTGATTCTAACTGCCCAAACAATATCAAACAATGTGGATTTATGTGGATTTGAACGTTTCTATGAGTTTTGGGATATTACATGTACATGTATGCTGATTTATCGATAGCAGATGGATGCAGCTGGGATTTCTTCACGGCAAATGGGACTGAGTTCACAATGGAATGCCAATTGCTGCTGAGAAATGGGCGACCAAAAATGGGGCTCCCTGGTGCTTGGTCCCCATACTGATAGCTGATAGGTAGGTTGTAACATGTTATTGCTCCAATTAGCCTCTGCTAATCAAACATGGCTTGCTGAAACGCCACCATTTACTTTGATGATCATCCCAGCCATAGCTTGGGTGGTTTCTACCCATTGTCCCTTAGAGAACAAATGGATGGTCAAAATTAGGTACCCCAAGAACTAGATGGTTAATACTAATCTGGTTGGTGGTTTGGAACATGAATTTTATGTTTCCATATATTGGGAAAAATCATCCCAACTGACTTTCATATTTTTCAGAGGGGTGAAAACCACCAACCAGTAGATGGTTAATACTAATCCAATAGGCCAAAATCATTGGTCCCCTGGGTCTGAAAAAAGAGACCAATACCCATATCTTTAGGGCCTCCACTAGGAGGTTCAGTCGCTTCTGGCGTATCCGCTAATCCAAGGTGGGTTGCTAGAAAACCTCCGGTTTATAGAAAATGTTCCCATATTAGACCATCAATTTACAGCGAATTTCCCAATATACACATTCTGGTAGACTGTTGGATCTTCAATTTTATGGTAAAAATGTCGATGAATAGGCAAATAATCTACGAATGGATGATTCGCAATTGTCATGTTTGATTACCAGAGGGAATTGGAGACTTCCCGAAGGGAAGTTCCTTTGAATACCTACAATTGGGATAGATTAATTCATTCGATGCACTCCAAGATGACTACACTGTTACACAGGTGTGCATGTATAATATGTACATGGCTCACACCTTGAAAGATATCTATGTTTTGTCGTGTTTTTTCGTAGTAATTTGCACTGTTGATCACAGTTGTCAGTGAATTCCTCTCAGTATCATATGTTCTGTGTATTTATACGATAGATAGATGGATCACAATCCTTTTTAATCACGAAAGCTAGCGTCAGCTAGCTGGAGTCTTCTTGCTTTAGCAAGTATTCCGGGGGCTGCTCAAGGACATCACGTGATTTTTCACGCGAAAGGGGCACGGGACCCCCCCCCCTCCCCCCCCACCACCACCACCATCACCACCATCATCATCATCATCATCGTCATCATCATCGTCATCATCATCATCGTCATCGTCATCGTCCTCGCCATCGTCCGCGTCATCGTCATCATCATCATCATCTTCATCATCATCATCATCATCATCATAATCATCATCATAATCATCATCACCATCACCACCATCATCATCTTCATCATCATCGTCATATTCATCATCATCATCGTCATCGTCCTCGCCATCGTCCGTGTCATCGTCATCATCATCATCATCATCATCACCATCACCATCATCATCGTCATCATCATCATCATCTTCATCATCATCATCATCATTGTCATCGTCCTCGCCATCGTCCTCGTCATCGTCATCATCATCATCATCATCGTCCTCGTCCTCGTCCTTGTCCTCGTCATCGTCATCGTCCTCGTCATCGTCATCGTCATCATCATCATCATCATCATCACCATCATCGTTAATCAATTACATTTTATCATTATTGGCAATTATTGGCATTATCACGAAAGCTAGCGTCAGCTCGCTAGAGTCTTCTTGCTTTAGCAAGTATTCCGGGGCTCCCCAAGGACATCACGTGCTTTTTCACGCGAAAGGGCCCCCCCCTGCCCCCTCCCCCATATATATCATTGTATCATATATCATATATCATTGTTGCATCCTCGTTGGGACGAACAATGCCGCGACACGATGATGACAGTCCCTCCGCAACTCACCTCTTCCCTTCCTTCTTTCTCCTACCCCGCTAGCTTTCGTCATCCACCCCCGGCCTCAAGTTGCAGCACTACTGGTGATGTTTGCGTCAGCATTTGCATTAAACCGATTGCTATTTGTGTACATCACAAGTTCTCCTTTTTTGTGTGATCATGTTCACTTGTTATCACCAACCATGTGTGTTGATGATCTCACCATGGTGAGTGATATCAGCAATGCTTGAGAAACTCAGAGTTGGTCTTCTGTCCTCCATCTGATGTTCCAACCGATGCTGCATGGAAGGAATCTTAATGAATAATCCTGGCCACATGACTAGTGGGATTCGGATGAATTCAAGCGGTTTCCCAGTTGTCACGTTTATAAATTTTCATTGTTTCTTTTCCCAGTAATATAGTTTATGATCAAAACAGCTCCATGTCCATATTTGATAAATCCATATATATATATATATATACATAAATCCAATAGCCCAGCCGTGGGATTTTCTGAGGCATGGTGATTTTATGTACGTCTTTGGGGGCTACGACGGCTCGGCGTGGTTGAACGACATGTTCGACTTCGACTTCGAGCGTGGCGCGTGGCTTGGATCTAAACCGGAGATTGCAAAAAAACAGATGACGATATTTGCTGGTTGGTGGTTTGGGACATTTTTATTTTTCCATATGTTGGGAATAATCATCCCAGCTGACTAATATTTTTCAGAGGGGTTGAAACCACCAACCAGCTTGGATAGTTTGTTCTTTCAGGTACTGGGAAATACAATGAAATACATGTTTTGTTTTAGAAAATGCTGGGAGTTGTGCCAGTTGTATCCATTCAGGGGTAAAAACTGTCAGTATCCAGGATGGTCTACATTGATTAGTCGTCGTGCCTTGACCCTTTGGGATTAATGACCAACTTATAAGGGTCTCGCGTCTCGCTGCAGATGGAGGTATGTCACCAGTGTGTGGTTGATCCCTCATACAACTGTGTGTGTGTGTTTTATTTCTCATATAGGCATGTATCTTTGGTCGTTTGCTTGTCCTCTGTGGAAACGTTAAAGGTTGAGAGGGGCCCCAGGGTCCCAAGAAATGTTACAATGTTGATCGTGATTGTAGATCTTAGGCGACTATTCAATATACGTAGTAAATAGGTATAACTAAGGGGATAGACAAATAGATATTTGACCAGGAGCTGTCGGATAAACTGGTTATGTTGCGCCTTTTTGTTTAATTTTTTTTTCTTTTTTAGCCAAGTGGTGATAAAACTTAAGAATAATTGTATACTCACGGTCGCAATGAGAGGAAAGACGGATGCTTTGAAGCGGTATCAATGGAGAGCTATCACTGGAAAATGGATGGAGTGTAGGCAGTGGTGACTGTTCATGGGCTTCACAACTCCCATGAGTTGTGAATGAACCAATTTAAGGGATCATCCGGTGGATTTGTTTCCCCGTCATTGGAATGGCATTTGTTGGTTTATGATGGTTTATGCCTATAAGCCTATGTCAAGACATGTCAAGACACAGCAGTATGTGCACATTCTCGCATGTTCATGGTTATTGAGAACAAATGATGATCATGCACTGATTAGCTGCTGGCAACAGGTTGGGAGTGATCAATGGATTGTTTGTTTAACCCATGTAGATATGCTTGACAGTAAATCCACTGGAAATCCTCATGTTCCTTATTAGAATTCAGAATCCCATACTCAAACATACCCCATACCCTTTTTTTCCAAACCCGGACGGCTCACAGATCCCAAGTTTCAACGTTTGATCCCAAGGGGATGGAACATGTTCGACCCAGTGGCACCAGGTCCATGTATCAGACAGAAGATGCATGTGTGTTCTCACCGTGGATAGTAACTGCACAATATCTATAATATACATATATACACATAGTTATAACATACAATCATTTATATAAATAGATATTAGATACATGTTTTGCTGGTTTTCAAGCTTGTTTTGTCTTAGCCAATCTGAAACCGGAGTGAAGGCCGTTGGGGTTTGGAGGTGTGCCAATAGCAATCACAGGCCTGAGATCACATGGATGGCTGAGATTAGAATGTCAAATAAGGAATCCCTGGAAAATTGATGTTTACATCGGTGATTTTCCCAGCAATGTTTCTCTTTTTCTTTACTCCACTTTCCTTTGTGATTTGTGATTCCCTTTAATGGAACCCCAAAATTAATAGATTCAATACAGTCGGCGAGCGTCTCAGATAAAGAACCAGTTTCACAGTTTTTTTTTGTGGCGTGAGAACAAGGAGTCATTATTTTTGGCTTGAAGGCTGGAAGGGCCAACAAAAATGGACAAACATGTCGTAGTCAATGGGAGAAAACCCACCCGCAAAGATCACAAAAACTCGACAACATCGCCAACATATTTCTGCGATGAGATCTCAACTGGGCGGGTATACTGATATAGGCAGGGTTTCAGAGCCCGGACCTGGGATAATTGCTGAACTTTGGCAAGTGCTTAGTACCTGGTGTGCGAAGCTACTGCTTACATTTGTTTTACCCAGTCACCAAATGGTGTTGATGAGTTTCAAGGCGATTCTGTTCAGAGGGAAGAAAATTGGCAATGTTGTCTAAAAGGCTTTGCCGATTTGAGTTCCTTTCCAAATTTAGCATTGAATCGCTGCAATTGGACACACGGGGCCCCAGCTCACAGGGCCTAATAGAAGGTCACAGCTTCGCCGGTTATGTTCTCCACACCGGCTGATTAAATAGCATGTGCTGCTGCTTGTATTTGCTGGTTTAACGGCAACATCCTGATCACTTGCCGTCGCGGGAGCGCAGTCGGTTTGAGCGCTATGCTCAGATGTTGCAAATAAAGCCAGCAGCGCTATGTTCACGTTAACACTGGGTGCCCCATTTGGATCTTTGCAAGGCGCAAATTTACATCAAACAGAAATAGCTCTCATTGGGCGCCCGCAGGGTGTGCTCAAAAATCAGCTGCACAGCACATCAACATATACACGGCGCAAACGCACAGGTTTGATGATGATGAGGAAGCTCCTGAAAAGTGAAGCTGTCATGACAGTAGAATCGATTCAATAATGAACGGCCTATCTCGATTCTTGAGAGCTTGCTTCCTAGACTTCATGGCGTTTGCTGGCGCGGCAATCCTTGAGCTATATACGACAACTAAGTGCAATTTCTCGCATTCAACCGATAAATATTTGCCGTGACGTCGGCCGTGGTTTCTGTCCATCTCCCTGAGGTGGTTCTCGACGCAGGTTCAAGGTTTCATCCCTTCCGGCAGGACCGGTTTCGTTGAGACAGAACAGACGGTAATTTGCTTTTCTTTCCTGTCTGTATAGGTGCGGTGGGCGAACGGAAGTGCCATAAGAATTTTGTAAAGGCAGAACAAAATTCCCCAAGTTCAAAAACATGCCGCAAAGTAAGCCAGGTTTTCCTTTTTTTGGGTTACTTGATCAGTCGGTCTTCCTTTTTTGCCGTTTGCAGCTCCAATTGTGCGGTGGCATTTGATGACACTAGGTTTGCAAACGCAAGCTCGGTCCCAGTATGACATGTTGCATCTGTGCAGCGACATTGCGGCAAGACTGGTTTTGGATGCCTGGCCCAGAAGCGTTTTAATTACCAAAGATTGTTTGAGGTTCGGGACACCTCCATTGGGAAATAAGGTCCGGGACCATCCCAATGCCGTTACCAAAACCATACTGACTTCCACGGATTCCCACCGTGGCATCTATATATTTCAGTTTTGTTCAAAAATACGATCTCATATATTCTGATATTTCTCTGTCACGTGTTCTGACATTTAATTCTCAATCATTTGGTCTCACATATATTTGGACATTCTATCTGTAATTCTATCTCTGACATTCTATCTAGCTAATATATGCTAATATATCATTATAATATCTGACAATCTACCTGGCATCTTGTTTGGTATTCAATGTGACAGATATTTTGGCATTTCGTTCCCCAAACAGTGTGTCCACCCTGAGGGGTTCTTGCGGTGGGAGCTAAAGGGCCAGGGGTAGACCAGGGTGCTCCATCTAATCTCCGGCCATTTTGCTTTAAATTCTCGCATAAAAGTGCCCTTGCGAGTTGTCCATGTGCATTTCGGCTGCGCAGGCTCGCACAAAACGGTTATCGCGGTTTGCCTCGGGCTCATTCTTCGTGGCAGGCGCAGAACTTTGTAGACCTCAACTCAAAAGTGGCTGAAACCCGCAACCTTCTTGTCACTTTGTGCGTGTCGAATCGCTCTCGTTTTGGCGCGGTGCGAATTTTTGATATCGCTCGCGCGACCTTCTCGGCACTTTGTGCGTGTCGGAATGCTCTTGTTCTGGCGCAGTGCGAACTTGGAGATCGCTCGCACGACCCTCTTGTTGTGCGTGTCAGATCGCTCTGGCTGTGGCGCGGTGCGAACTTGGAGATCGCTAGCGGCTAGCGTAACCCTCTAGGCACTTTGTGTGAGTCAGATCGCTCTGCATATTATACCATGACCCCTCGTTATTGGAACTACCTTTGCTACATCCCCAATATGATTTTTCACAACACCCGTATCAAATTATCTAAACCAACAGTTTAATTCCATGGAAAAACATGTACATGGAAAAAAAATGATACCCAGCCGGCCTGGCAGGAGTTGTCCCAGCTGGGCGACCCATAACGGATCGGTCTACCTCTTCGGCGGCTACGACGGTGGGGTTTTGAACTCCCCCGAAGTGGTGGAGATGTGGCGGGTCCCACAAAGATCTCGTTGGGCATGGTTGTTTTCTATGTGGAAAATCAATGAACATATTGGAAATGTGTTTTCAATGAAAAATGTGGAACATCATCCCGACATGATCCAACAGATACCAAAATCATGGTTTAAAAAACTAAGATGGGGTATAGATGGGAACCATGTCGAAATTGCTGTACATGCATGCGATTTGGGAGTCAGTATGATTGCCGATTGGGCCTGATGGGATGAACATGTCAGGAGTTTGACGAAGCAAACAGTTGCTGTCTTAAACGCCAAACCATCGTCATTTAACCAGTGGATATATGGGATAGACATCGGGAATTTGTTCCAGTAGAACCATGTTGTCCTCAAGACAAGCGAGGATTCGAACCATACCTGCGAGTGTGTGTTGCCCCTCGGACAAAGATGTGGTAACACATTGGCACAGTGGAGGCGGAGTGGAAGGAACCGGATGATGGCAGTGCTCAAGACCTTGATGTCTCAGAGTTTCTTGTGAGGACGCATCAATGTGACCACGTCCGTTTCTTAGGGCTGATGAGTCCTGTCCATGGGCAACAATGCCGGAAAACGCGCGCCAGATCTGTCCGGATGTGAAGACCACAAGGTGATTTTTTCCATTGCTATCATTTGGAAAGGGCGCCTGTGGAACGAAGACGTTTCGGTTGGACCCAGGGTTCGTGCCATTTTGCCCAACATGTTTTTATGATCACCAATCATCCCCACTCGACATTGAAGTTTGGCCAACAGGGGTTGACCTTTTCACCAGGACTAACAGATACAAATAGTTCTGTTAAATCACATTAAATCACCAAAGAATGGGCACGAACGATTGTATCACTTTCCAAAATTAAGAGCAGTTGAGACAACCATGGAGGAATTATTCATCCAAAAGTGGGATCATAGATAGGTAGATAGATAGATAGATAGGTAGATAGATGGATAGATGGATAGATGGATAGAT